TGATGGAAAGCGGGAGAATGGGGCGGGGTGATGGAAATCGGGAGAATGGGGCGGGGTGATGGAAAGCGGGAGAATGGGGCGGGGTTATGGAAGGAGGGAGAATGGGGCGGGGTGATAGAAAGCGGGAGAATGTGGCGGGGTGATGGAAAGCGGGAGAATGGGGTGGGGTTATGGGAAGCGGGAGAATGGGGCGGGGTGATGGAAAGCGGGAGAATGGGGCGGGGTGATTGAAGGAGGGAGAATGGGGCGGGGGGATGGAAGGAGGGAGAATGGGGCGGGGTGATGGAAAGCGGGAGAATGGGGCGGGGTGATGGAAGGAGGGAGAATGGGGCGGGGTGATGGAAGGAGGGAGAATGGGGTGGGGTGATGGAAAGCGGGAGAATGGGGCGGGGTGATGGAAAGCGGGAGAATGGGGCGGGGTGATGGAAGGAGGGAGAATGGGGAGGGGTGATGGAAAGCGGGGGAATGGGGCGAGATGATGGGAAGCGGAAGAATGGGGCGGGGTGATGGAAAGCGGGAGAAAGGGGAGGGGTGATGGAAAGTGGGAGAATGGGGCGGGCTGATGGAAAGCGGGAGAATGGGGCGGGGTGATGGAAGGAGGGAGAATGGGGCGGGGTGATGGAAGGAGAGAGAAGGGGGCGGGGTGATGGAAAGTGGGAGAATGTGGCGGGTGATGGAAAGCGGGAGAATGGGGTGGGGTTATGGGAAGCGGGAGAATGAGGCGGGGTGATGGAAAGCGGGAGAATGGGGCGGGGTGATGGAAGGAGGGAGAATGGGGCGGGGTGATGGAAAGAGGGATAATGGGGCGGAGTGATGGAAAGCGGGAAAATGCGGCGGGGTGATGGAAAGCGGGAGAATGGGGCGGGGTGATGGAAAGCGAGAGAATGGGGCGGGGTGATGGAAGGAGGGAGAATGGGGAGGGGTGATGGAAAGCGGGGGAATGGGGCGTGATGATGGGAAGCGGAAGAATGGGGCGGGGTGATGGAAGGAGGGAGAATGGGGCGGGGTGATGGAAAGCGGGAGAATGGGGCGGGATAATTGAAAGAGGGAAAATGGAGGGAGGTGATGGAAAGCGGGAGAATGGGGTGGTGTGATGGAAAGCGGGAGAATGGGGCGGTGTGATGGAAAGAGGGAGAATGGGGCGGGGTGATGGAAAGCGGGAGAATGGGGCGGGGTGATGGAAAGAGGGAGAATGGGGCGGGTTGATGGAAGGCGGGAGAATGGGGCGGGGTGATGCAAATCTGGAGAATGGGGCGGGGTGATGCAAATCGGGAGAATGGGGTGGGGTGATGGAAAGAGGGAGAATGGGGCGGGGTGATGGAAAGCGGGAGAATGGGGCGGGGTGATGGAAAGCGGGAGAATGGGGCGGGGCGATGGAAAGCTGGAGAACGGGGCGGGGTGATGGAAAGCGGGAGAACGAGGCGGGGTGATGGAAAGAGGGAGAATGGGGCGGGGTGATGGAAAGCGGGAGAATGGGGCGGGGTGATGGAAAGCGGGAGAATGGGGCGGGGTGATGGAAAGCGGGAGAATGGGGCGGGGTGATGGAAAGCGGGAGAATGGGGCGGGGTGATGGAAAGCGGGAGAATGGGGCGGGGTGATGGAAAGTGGGAGAATAGGGAGGGTTGATGGAAAGAGGGAGAATTGGGCGGGGTGATGGAAAGCGGGAGAATGGAGCGGGGTGATAGAAAGCGGGAGAATGGGGCGGGGTGATGGAAAGCGGGAGAATGGGGCGGGGTGATGGATAGTGGTAGAATGGGGCGGGGTGATGGATAGAGGGAGAATTGGGCGGGGTGATGGAAAGCGGGAGAATGGGGCGGGATGATGGAAAGAGGGAGAATGGGGCGGGGTGATGGAAAGAGGGAGAATGGGGCGGGGTGATGGAAAGCGGGAGAATGGGGCAGGCTGATTGAAAGAGGGAGAATGGGGCGGGGTGATGGAAAGCGGGAGCATGGGGCAAGGTGATGGAAAGAGGGAGAATGGGGTGGGGTGATGGAAAGCGGGAGAATGGGGCGGGGTGATGCAAATCGGGAGAATTGGGTGGGGTGATGGAAAGCGGGAGAATGGAGCGGGGTGATGGAAAGCGGGAGAATGGGGCGGGGTGATGGAAAGTGGTAGAATGGGGCGGGGTGATGGATAGAGGGAGAATGGGGCGGGGTGATGGAAAGCGGGAGAATGGGGCGGGCTGATGGAAAGAGGGAGAATGGGGAGGCGTGATAGAAAGAGGGAGAATTGGGCGGGGTGATGGAAAGCAGGAGGATGGAGCGGGGTGATGGAAAGCGGGAGAATGGGGCGGGGTCATGGAAAGCGGGAGAATGGGGCGGGGTGATGGAAAGAGGGAGAATGGGGCGGGGTGATGGAAAGCGGGAGAATGGGATCGGGTGATGGAAAGCGGGAGAATCGGGCGGAGTGATGGATAGAGGGAGAATGGGGCAGGGTGATGGAAAGTGGGAGAATGGGGTGGGGTGATGGAAGGAGGGAACATGGTGCGGGGTGATGGAAAGTGGGAGAATGGGGCAAGGTGATGGAAAGAGGGAGAATGGGACGGGGTGATGGAAAGAGGGAGAATGGGGTGGGGTGATAGAAAGCGGGAGAATGGGGCGGGGTGATGGAAAGAGGGAGAATGGGGCGGGGTGATGGACAGAGGGAGAATGGGGTGGGGTGACGGAAAGCGGTAGAATGGGGCGGGGTGATGGAAAGCGGGAGAATGGGGCGGGGTGATGGAAAGAGGGAGAATGGGGCGGGGTGATGGAAAGAGGGAGAATGGGGCGGGGTGATGGAAAGCAGGAGAATGGGGCGGGAGATGGAAAAAGGGAGAATGGGGAGGGGTGATGGAAAGAGTGAGAATTGGGCGGGGTGATAGAAAGCGGGACAATGGAGAGGGATGATGGAAAGCGAGAGAATGGGGCGGGGTGATGGAAAGCGGGAGAATGGGGCGGGGTGATGGAAAGGCGGAAAATGGCGCGGGGTGATGGAAAGCGGGAGAATGGGGCGGGTTGATGGAAAGAGGGAGAATGGGGCGGGGTGATGGAAAGAAGGAGAATGGGGCGGAGTGATGGAAAGCGGGAGAATGGGGCGGGGTGATGGAAAGAGGGAGAATGGGGCGGGGTGATGGAAAGAGGGAGAATTGGGCGGGTTGATGGAAGGCGGGAGAGTGGGGCGGGGTGATGGAAAGAGGGAGAATGGGGCGGGGTGATGGAAAGCGGGAGAATGGGGCGGGGTGATGGAAAAAGGGAGGATGGGGAGGGGTGATGGAAAGAGGGAGAATTGGGCGGGGTGATGGAAAGGGGGACAATGGAGCGGGATGATGGAAAGCGAGAGAATGGGGCGGGGTGATGGAAAGCGGGAGAATTGGGCGGGGTGATGGAAAGAGGGAAAATGGCGCGGGGTGATGGAAAGCGGGAGAATGGGGCGGGGTGATGGAAAAAGGGAGAATGGGGAGGGGTGATGGAAAGAGGGAGAATTGGGCGGGGTGATGGAAAGCGGGACAATGGAGCGGGATGATGGAAAGCGAGAGAATGGGGCGGGGTGATGGAAAGCGGGAGAATGGGGCGGGGTGATGGAAAGAGGGAAAATGGCGCGGGGTGATGGAAAGCGGGAGAATGGGGCGGGGTGATGGAAAGAGGGAGAATGGGGCGGGATGATGGAAAGAGGGAGAATGGGGCGGGGTGATGGAAAGCGGGAGAATGGGGCGGGGTGATGGAAAGAGGGAGAATGGGGCGGGGTGATGGAAAGAGGGAGAATTGGGCGGGGTGATGGAAGGCGGGAGAGTGGGGCGGGGTGATGGAAAGAGGGAGAATGGGGCGGTGTGATGGAAAGCGGGAGAATGGGGCGGGGTGATGGAAAAAGGGAGAATGGGGAGGGGTGATGGAAAGAGGGAGAATTGGGCGGGGTCATGGAAAGCGGGACAATGGAGCGGGATGATGGAAAGCGAGAGAATAGGGCGGGGTGATGGAAAGCGGGAGAATGGGGCGGGGTGATGGAAAGAGGGAAAATGGCGCGGGGTGATGGAAAGTGGGAGAATGGGGCGGGGTGATGGAAGGCGGGAGAGTGGGGCGGGGTGATGGAAAGAGGGAGAATGGGGCGGGGTGATGGAAAGAGGGAGAATGGGGCGGGGTGATTGAAAGTGGGAGAATGGGCGGGGTGATGGAAATCGGGAGAATGGAGCGGGGTGATGGAAAGAGGAAGAATGGGGCGGGGTGATGGAAAGCGGGAGAATGGGGCGGGATGATGGAAAGCAGGAGAATTGGGCGGGGTGATGGAAAGCGGGGGAACGGGGCGGGGTGATGGAAATAGGGAGAATGGGGCGGGGTGATGGAAAGAGGGAGGATGGGGTGGGGTGATGGAAAGCAAAAGAATGGGGCGGGGTGATGGAAAGCGGGAGAATGGGACCGGGTGATGGAAAGCGGGAGAATAGGGCGGGGTGGTGGATAGAGGAAGAATGGGGCAGGGTAATGGGAAGAGGGAGAATGGGGCGGGGTGATGGAAAGCGGGAGAATGGGGCGGGGTGATGGAAAGAGGGAGAATGGGGCGGGCTGATGGAAAGAGGGAGAATGGGGCGGGATGATGGAAAGCGGGAGAATGGGGAGGGGTGATGGTTATCGGGAGAATGGGGCGGGGTGATGGAAAGCGGGAGAACGGGGCGGGGTGATGGAAAGCGGGAGAACGGGGCGGGGTGATGGAAAGCGGGAGAACGGGGCGGGGTGATGGAAAGCGGGAGAACGGGGCGGGGTGATGGAAAGAGGGAGAATGTGGCGGGTTGATGGAAAGCGGGAGAATGTGGCAAGGTGATGGAAAGGGGGAGAATGGGGCGGGGTGATGGAAAGCGGGAGAACGGGGCGGGGTGATGGAAAGCGGGAGAACGGGGCTGGGTGATGGAAAGAGGGAGAATGGGGCGGGGTGATGGAAAGCGGGAGAATGTGGCAAGGTGATGGAAAGGGGGAGAATGGGGCGGGGTGATGGAAAGCAGGAGAACGGGGCGGGGTGATGGAAAGCGGGAGAACGGGGCAGGGTGATGGAAAGAGGGAGAAAGGGGCGGGTTGATGGAAAGCGAGAGAATGGGGCGGGGTGATGGAAAGCGGGAGAATGGGGCGGGGTGATGGAAAGCGGGAGAATGGGGCGGGGTGATGGAAAGCGGGAGAATGGGGCGGGGTGATGGAAAGCGGGAGAATGGGGCAGGGTGATGGAAAGAGGGAGAATGGGGAGTGGTGATAGAAAGAGGGAGAATTGGGCGGGGTGATGGAAAGCGGCAGAATAGAGCGGGGTGATGGAAAGTGTGAGAATGGGGCGGGGTGATGGAAAGTGGGAGAATGGGGCGGGGTGATGGAAAGAGGGAGAATGGGGCAGGGTGATGGAAAGCGGGAGAACGGGGCGGGGTGATGGAAAGAGGGAGAATGGGGCGGGGTGATGGAAAGCGGGAGAATGGGGCGGGGTGATGGAAAGCGGGAGAATGGAGCGGTGTGATGGAAAGAGGGAGAATGGGGCGGGGTGATGGAAGGCGGGAGAATGGGGCGGGGTGATGGAAAGAGGGAGAATGGGGCGGGGTGATGGAAAGAGGGAGAATGGGGCGAGGTGATGGAAAGCGGGAGATTGGGGCGGGGTGATGGAAAGAGGGAGAATGGGGCGGGGTGATGGAAAGCAGGAGAATGGGGCGGGGTGATGGAAAGAGGGAGAATGGGGCGGGGTGATGAGAAGAGGGAGAACGGGGCGGGGTGATGGAAAGCGGGAGAATGGGGCGGGGTGATAGAAAAAGGGAGAATGGGGAGGGGTGATAGAAAGAGGGAGAATTGGGCGGGGTGATGGAAAGCGGGAGAATAGTGAGGGGTGATAGAAAGAGCGAGAATGGGGCGGGGTGATGGAAAGCGGGAGAATGGGGCGAGGTGATGGAAAGAGGGAGAATGGGGCGGGGTGATGGAAAGCGGGAGAATGGGGCGGGGTGATGGAAAGAGGGAGAATGGGGAGGGTTGATGGAAAGAGGGAGAATTGGGCGGGGTGATGGAAAGGGGGAGAATGGAGGGGGATGATGGAAAGCGGGAGAATGGGGCGGGGTGATAGAAAGCGGGAGAATGGGGAAGGGTGATGGAAAGAGGGAGAATGGGGCGGGGTGATAGAAAGAGGGAGAATGGGGAGGGGTGATGGAAAACGGGAGAATGGGGCGGGGTCATTGAGAGCGGGAGAATGGGGCAGGGTGATGGAAAGGGACACCGCGACAGCTGACGAAGCGGCGTGAATGTGGTGCGGTCGCGAAAGAAGGAGCGAGAGGCCCCAGAGTCAAGAGTGAAGGTGAGGGAGGCCGAAGCCGGCGCAGTACCTGACAGCGCAGACTCACCAGTACCTGAGAGCGCAGACTCACCAGTACCTGAGGAAGCAGACGTGGGAGAATGGGGCGGGGTGATGGAAAGCGGGAGAATGGGGCGGGGTGATGGAAAGCGGGAGAATGGAGCGGGGTGATGGAAAGAGGGAGAACAGGGCGGGGTGATGGAAAGCGGGAGAATGGGGCGGGGTGATGGAAAGCGGGAGAATGGGGCGGGGTGATAGAAAGCGGGAGAATGGGGCGGGGTGATGGAAAGCGGGAGAATAGGGCGGGGTGATGAAAAGCAAGTGAATGGGGCAAGGTGATGGAAAGCGGGTGAATGGGACAGGGTGATGGAAAGCGGGAGAATGGGGCGGGGTGATGGATAGAGGGAGAATGGGGCGGGGGTGATGGAAAGCGGGAGAATGGAGCGGGGTGATGGAAAGCTGGAGAATGGGGCGGAGTGATGGAAAGCGGGAGAATGGGGCGGGGTTATGGAAAGATGAAGAATGGGGCTGGGTGATGGAAAGCGGGAGAGTGGGGCGGGGTGATGGAAAGCGGGAGAATGTGGCGCGGTGATGGAAAGAGGGAAAATGGGGCGGGGTGATCGAAAGCGGGAGAATGGGGCGGGGTGATGGAAAGAGGGAGAATAGGGGAGGGTGATGGAAAGCGGGAGAATGGGGCGGGGTGATGGAAAGCGGGAGAATGGGGCGGGGTGATGGAAAGCGGGAGAATGGGGCGGGGTGATGGAAAGCGGGAGAATGGGGCAGGGTGATTGAAAGCGGGAGAACAGGGCCGGGTGATGGAAAGAGGGAGAATGGGGCGGGGTGATGGAAAGAGGGAGAATGGGGAGGGGTGATGGAAAACGGGAGAATGGGGAGGGGTGATTGAGAGCAGGAGACTGGGGCGGGGTGATGGAAAGCGGGAGAATGGGGTGGGGTGATGGAAAGAGGGAGAAAGGGGCGGGTTGATGGAAAGCGAGAGAATGGGGCGGGGTGATGGAAAGCGGGAGAATGGGGCGGGGTGATGGAAAGCGGGAGAATGGGGCGAGGTGATGGAAAGCGGGAGAATGGGGCGGGGTGATGGAAAGCGGGAAAATGGGGCGGGGTGATGGAAAGAGGGAGAATGGGGAGGGGTGATAGAAAGAGGGAGAATTGGGCGGGGTGATGGAAAGCGGGAGAATAGAGCGGGGTGATGGAAAGCGTGAGAATGGGGCGGGGTGATGGAAAGAGGAAGAATGGGGCTGGGTGATGGAAAGCGGGAGAGTGGGGCGGGGTGATGGAAAGCGGGAGAATGTGGCGCGGTGATGGAAAGAGGGAAAATGGGGCGGGGTGATCGAAAGCGGGAGAATGGGGCGGGGTGATGGAAAGAGGGAGAATAGGGCGGGGTGATGGAAAGCGGGAGAATGGGGCGGGGTGATGGAAAGCGGGAGAATGGGGCGAGGTGATGGAAAGCGGGAGAATGGGGCGGGGTGATGGAAAGCGGGAGAATGGGGCAGGGTGATTGAAAGCGGGAGAACAGGGCCGGGTGATGGAAAGAGGGAGAATGGGGCGGGGTGATGGAAAGAGGGAGAATGGGGAGGGGTGATGGAAAACGGGAGAATGGGGAGGGGTGATTGAGAGCAGGAGACTGGGGCGGGGTGATGGAAAGCGGGAGAACGGGGGTGGGGTGATGGAAAGAGGGAGAAAGGGGCGGGTTGATGGAAAGCGAGAGAATGGGGCGGGGTGATGGAAAGCGGGAGAATGGTGCGGGGTGATGGAAAGCGGGAGAAGGGGATGGAATCTGGGAGAAGGGGATGGAATGAGGGAGAAGGGGATGGAATCTGGGAGAAGGGGATAGAATCTGGGAGAAGGGGGTGGAATCTGGAAGAAGGGGATGTAATCTGGGAGAAGGGGATGGAATCTGGGAGAAGGGGATGGAATCTGGGAGAAGGGGATGGAATCTGCGAGAAGGGGATAGAATATGGGAGAAGGGGATGGGATCTGGGAGAAGGGGATGGAATCTGGGAGAAGGGTATGGAATTTGGGAGAAGGGGATGGAATCTGGGAGAAGGGGATGGAATGAGGGAGAAGGGGATGGAATCTGGGAGAAGGGGATGGAATCTGGGAGAAGGGTATGGAATCTCGGAGAAGGGGATGGAATCTGGGAGAAGGGGATGGAATCTGGGAGAAGGGGATGGAATCTGGGAGAAGGGGATGGAATATGGGAGAAGGGGATGGAATCTGGGAGAAGGGGATGGAATCTGGGAGAAGGGGATGGAATCTGGGAGAAGGGGATAGAATCTGGGAGAAGGGGATGGAATCTGGGAGAAGGGGATGGAATCTGGGAGAAGGGGGTGGAATCTAGGAGAAGAGGATGAAATCTGGGAGAAGGGGATGGAATCTGGGAGAAGGGGATGGAATCTGGGAGAAGGGGATGGAATCTGGGAGAAGGGGATGGAATCAGTAAGAATGGGGTGGAATCTGGAAGAAGGGGATAGAATCTGGGAGAAGGGGATGGAATCTGGGAGAAGGGGATGGAATCTGGGAGAAGGGGGTGGAATCTGGGAGAAGGGGATGGAATCTGGGAGAAGGGGATGGAATCTGGGAGAAGGGGATGGAATCTGGGAAAAGGGGATGGAATTTGGGAGAAGGGGATGGAATCTGGGAGAAGGGGATGGAATCTGGGAGAAGGGGATGGAGTCTGGGAGAAGGGATGGAATCTGGGAGAAGGGTATGGAATCTGGGAGAAGGGGATGGAATCTGGGAGAAGGGGATGGAATTTGCGAGAAGGGGATGGAATATGGGAGAAGGGGATGGGATCCGGGAGAAGAGGATGGAATCAGGGAGAAGGGTATGGAATCTGGGAGAAGGGGATGGAATATGGGAGAAGGGGATGGAATCAGGGAGAAGGGGATGGAATCTGGGAGAAGGGGATGGAATCTGGGAGAAGGGGATGGAATATGGGAGAAGGGGATGGAATCTGGGAGAAGGGGATGGAATCTGGGAGAAGGGGATGGAATCTGGGAGAAGGGGATGGGATCTGGGAGAAGGGGATGGAATCTGCGAGAAGGGGATAGAATATGGGAGAAGGGGATGGGATCTGGGAGAAGGGGATGGAATCTGGGAGAAGGGTATGGAATTTGGGAGAAGGGGATGGAATCTGGGAGAAGGGGATGGAATGAGGGAGAAGGGGATGGAATCTGGGAGAAGGGGATGGAATCTGGGAGAAGGGTATGGAATCTCGGAGAAGGGGATGGAATCTGGGAGAAGGGGATGGAATCTGGGAGAAGGGGATGGAATCTGGGAGAAGGGGATGGAATATGGGAGAAGGGGATGGAATCTGGGAGAAGGGGATGGAATCTGGGAGAAGGGGATGGAATCTGGGAGAAGGGGATAGAATCTGGGAGAAGGGGATGGAATCTGGGAGAAGGGGATGGAATCTGGGAGAAGGGGGTGGAATCTAGGAGAAGAGGATGAAATCTGGGAGAAGGGGATGGAATCTGGGAGAAGGGGATGGAATCTGGGAGAAGGGGATGGAATCTGGGAGAAGGGGATGGAATCAGTAAGAATGGGGTGGAATCTGGAAGAAGGGGATAGAATCTGGGAGAAGGGGATGGAATCTGGGAGAAGGGGATGGAATCTGGGAGAAGGGGGTGGAATCTGGGAGAAGGGGATGGAATCTGGGAGAAGGGGATGGAATCTGGGAGAAGGGGATGGAATCTGGGAAAAGGGGATGGAATTTGGGAGAAGGGGATGGAATCTGGGAGAAGGGGATGGAATCTGGGAGAAGGGGATGGAGTCTGGGAGAAGGGATGGAATCTGGGAGAAGGGTATGGAATCTGGGAGAAGGGGATGGAATCTGGGAGAAGGGGATGGAATCTGCGAGAAGGGGATGGAATATGGGAGAAGGGGATGGGATCCGGGAGAAGAGGATGGAATCAGGGAGAAGGGTATGGAATCTGGGAGAAGGGGATGGAATATGGGAGAAGGGGATGGAATCAGGGAGAAGGGGATGGAATCTGGGAGAAGGGGATGGAATTTGGGAGAAGGGGATGGAATATGGGAGAAGGGGATGGAATCTGGGAGAAGGGGATGGAATCTGGGAGAAGGGGATGGAATCTGGGAGAAGGGGATGGGATCTGGGAGAAGGGGATGGAATCTGGGAGAAGGGGATGGAATCTGGGAGAAGGGGATAGAATCTGGGAGAAGGGGATGGAATCTGGGAGAAGGGGATGGAATCTGGGAGAAGGGGATGGAATCTGGGAGAAGGGGGTGGAATCTGGGAGAAGGGGATGGAATCTGGGAGAAGGGGATGGAATCTGGGAGAAGGGGATGGAATCTGGGAAAAGGGGATGGAATCTGGGAGAAGGGGATGGAATCGGGGAGAAGGGGATGGAATCTGGGAGAAGGGGATAGTATCTGGGAGAAGGGGATGGAATCTGGGAGAAGGGGATAGAATCTGGGAGAAGGGGATGGAATCTGGGAGAAGTGGGTGGAATCTGGGAGAAGGGGATGTAATTTGGGAGAACGGGATGGAATCAGGGAGAAGGGGATGGAATCTGGGAGAAGGGGATGGAATCTGCGAAAAGGGGATGGAATATGGGAGAAGGGGATGGGATCTGGGAGAAGGGGATGGAATCTGGGAGAAGGGTATGGAATCTGGGAGAAGGGGATGGAATATGGGAGAAGGGGATGGAATCAGGGAGAAGGGGATGGAATCTGGGAGAAGGGGATAGTATCTGGGAGAAGGGGATGGAATCTGGGAGAAGGGGATGGAATCTGGGAAAAGGGGATGGAATCTGGGAGAAGGGGATGGAATCTGGGAGAAGGGGATGGAATCTGGGAGAAGGGGATAGAATCCGGGAGAACGGGATGGAATCAGGGAAAAGGGGATGCAATCTGGGAGAAGGGGATGGAATCTGGGAGAAGGGGATGGAATCTGGGAGAAGGGGATGGAATCTGGGAGAAGTGGGTGGAATCTGGGAGAATGGGATGTAATTTGGGAGAACGGGATGGAATCTGGGAGAAGGGGATGGAATCTGGGAGAAGGGGATGGAATCTGCGAAAAGGGGATGGAATATGGGAGAAGGGGATGGGATCTGGGAGAAGGGGATGGAATCTGGGAGAAGGGTATGGAATCTGGGAGAAGGGGATGGAATATGGGAGAAGGGGATGGAATGAGGAAGAAGGGGATGGAATCCGGGAGAAGGGGATGGAATCTGGGAGAAGGGTATGGAATCTGGGAGAAGGGGATGGAATCTGGGAGAAGGGGATGGAATCTGGGAGAAGGGGATGGAATCTGGGAGAAGGGGATAGAATCTGGGAAAAGGGGATGGAATCTGGGAGAAGGGGATGGAATCTGGGAGAAGGGGATAGAATCCGGGAGAACGGGATGGAATCAGGGAGAAGGGGATGCAATCAAGGAGAAGGGGATGGAATCTTGGAGAAGGGGATAGAATCTGGGAGAAGGGGATATAATCTGGAGAAGGGGGTGGAATCTGGGAGAAGGGGAAGTAATTTGGGAGAAGGGGATGGAATCTGGGAGAAGGGGATGGAATCTGGGAGAAGGGGATGGAATCTGCGAGAAGGGGATGGAATATGGGAGAAGGGGATGGGATCTGGGAGAAGGGGATGGAATCTGGGAGAAGGGTATGGAATCTAAAAGAAGGGGATGGAATCTGGGAGAAGGGGATGGAATGAGGAAGAAGGGGATGGAATCTGGGAGAAGGGGATGGAATCTGGGAGAAGGGAATGGAATCTGGGAGAAGGGGATGGAATCTGGGAGAAGGGGATGGAATTTGGGAGAAGGGGATGGAATCTGGGAGAAGGGGATAGAATCTGGGAGAAGGGGATGGAATCTGGGAGAAGGGGATAGAATCTGGGAGAAGGGGATGGAATCTGGGAGAAGGGGATGGAATCTGGGAGAAGGGGGTGGAATCTAGGAGAAGGGGATGAAATCTGGAAGAAGGGGATGGAATCTGAGAGAAGGGGATGGAATCTGAGAGAAGGGGATGGAGTCTGGGAGAAGGGGATGGAATCAGTGAGAAGGGGGTGGAATCTGGGAGAAGGGGATAGAATCTGGGAGAAGGGGATAGAATCTGGGAGAAGGGGATGGAATCTGTGAGAAGGGGGTGGAATCTGGGAGAAGGGGATGTAATTTGGGAGAAGGGGATGGAATCTGGGAGAAGGGGATGGAATCTAGGAGAAGGGGATGGAATCTGCGAGAAGGGGATGGAATATGGGAGAAGGGGATGGGATCTGGGAGAAGGGGATTGAATCTGGGAGAAGGGTATGGAATCTAAAAGAAGGGGATGGAATCTGGGAGAAGGGGATGGAATGAGGAAGAAGGGGATGGAATCTGGGAGAAGGGGATGGAATCTGGGAGAAGGGAATGGAATCTGGGAGAAGGGGATGGAATCTGGGAGAAGGGGATGGAATCTGGGAGAAGGGGATGGAATCAGGGAGAAGGGGATGGAATCTGGGAGAAGAAGATGGAATCTGGGAGAAGGGGATAGAATCTGGGAGAAGGGGATGGAATCTGGGAGAAGGGGATGGAATCTGGGAGAAGGGGGTGGAATCTAGGAGAAGGGGATGAAATCTGGGAGAAGGGGATGGAATCTGGGAGAAGGGGATGGAATCTGAGAGAAGGGGATGGAGTCTGGGAGAAGGGGATGGAATATAGGAGAAGGGGATGGAATCAGTGAGAAGGGGGTGGAATCTGGGAGAAGGGGATAGAATCTGGGAGAAGGGGATGGAATCTGGGAGAAGGGGATGGAATCTGGGAGAAGGGGGTGGAATCTGGGAGAAGGGGATGGAATCTGGGAGAAGGGGATGGAATGTGGGAGAAGGGGATGGAATCTGGGAAAAGGGGATGGAATCTGGGAGAAGGGGATGGAATCAGGGAGAAGGGGATGGAATCTAGGAGAAGGGGATGAAATCTGGGAGAAGGGATGGAATCTGGGAGAAGGGTATGGAATAAGGGAGAAGGGGATGGAATCTGGGAGAAGGGGATGGAAACTGCGAGAAGGGGATGGAATATGGGAGAAAGGGATGGGATCTGGAAGAAGAGGATGGAATCAGGGAGAAGGGTATAGAATCTGGGAGAAGGGGATGGAATATGGGAGAAGGGGATGGAATCTGGGAGAAGGGGATGGAATCTGGGAGAAGGGGATGGAATCTGGGAGAAGGGGATGGAATATGGGAGAAGGGGATGGAATCAAGGAGAAGGGGATGGAATGTGGGAGAAGGGGATGGAATCTGGGAGAAGGGGATGGGATCTGGGAGAAGGGGATGGAATCTGGGAGAAGGGGATGGAATCTGGGAGAAGGGGATGGAATCTGGGAGAAGGGGATGGAATCTGGGAGAAGGGGATGGAATCTGGGAGAAGGGGATGGAATCTGGGAGAAGGGGGTGGAATTTGGGAGAAGGGGATGGAATCTGGGAGAAGGGGATAGAATCTGGGAGAAGGGGATGGAATCTGGGGGAAGGGGATGGAATCTGGGAGAAGGGGATGGAATCTGGGAGAAGGGGATGGAATCTGGGAGAAGGGGATGGTATCAGGGAGAAGGGGATAGAATCCGGGACAAGGGGATGGAATGAGGGAGAAGGGGATGCAATCTGGGAGAAGGGGATGGAATCTGGGAGAAGGGGATGGAATCTGGGAGAAGGGGATGGAATCTGGGAGAAGGGGATGGAATCTGGGAGAAGGGGATGGAATCAGGGAGAAGGGGGTGGAATCTGGAAGAAGGGGATGTAATCTGGGAGAAGGGGATGGAATCTGGGAGAAGGGGATGGAATCTGGGAGAAGGGGATGGAATCTGCGAGAAGGGGATGGAATATGGGAGAAGGGGATGGGATCCGGGAGAAGCGGATGGAATCTGGGAGAAGGGTATGGAATATGGGAGAAGGGGATGGAATCTGGGAGAAGGGGATGGAATCTGGGAGAAGGGGATGGAATCTGGGAGAAGGGGATGGAATCTGGGAGAAGGGGATGGAATCAGTGAGAAGGGGGTGGAATCAGTGAGAAGGGGATGGAATCTGGGAGAAGGGGATGGAATCTGGGAGAAGGGGATGGAATCTGGGAGAAGGGGATGGAATCTGGGAGAAGGGGATGGAATCTGGGAGAAGGGGATGGAATCTGGGAGAAGGGGGTGGAATTTGGGAGAAGGGGATGGAATCTGGGAGAAGGGGATGGAATCTGGGAGAAGGGGATGGAATCAGGGAGAAGGGGGTGGAATCTGGAAGAAGGGGATGTAATCTGGGAGAAGGGGATGGAATCTGGGAGAAGGGGATGGAATCTGGGAGAAGGGGATGGAATCTGCGAGAAGGGGATGGAATATGGGAGAAGGGGATGGGATCCGGGAGAAGCGGATGGAATCTGGGAGAAGGGTATGGAATCTGGGAGAAGGGGATGGAATCTGGGAGAAGGGGATGGAATCTGGGAGAAGGGGATGGAATCTGGGAGAAGGGGATGGAATCTGGGAGAAGGGGATGGAATCAGTGAGAAGGGGGTGGAATCTGGGAGAAGGGGATAGAATCTGGGAGAAGGGGATGGAATCTGGGAGAAGGGGATGGAATCTGGGAGAAGGGGGTGGAATCTGGGAGAAGGGGATGGAATCTGGGAGAAGGGGATGGAATCTGGGAGAAGGGGATGGAATCTGGGAAAAGGGGATGGAATCTGGGAGAAGGGGATGGAATCTGGGAGAAGGGGATGGAATCTGGGAGAAGGGGATGGAATCTGGGAGAAGGGATGGAATCTGGGAGAAGGGTATGGAATCAGGGAGAAGGGGATGGAATCTGGGAGAAGGGGATGGAATCTGCGAGAAGGGGATGGAATATGGGAGAAGGGGATGGGATCCGGGAGAAGAGGATGGAATCAGGGAGAAGGGTATGGAATCTGGGAGAAGGGGATGGAATATGGGAGAAGGGGATGGAATCTGGGAGAAGGGGATGGAATCTGGGAGAAGGGGATGGAATATGGGAGAAGGGGATGGAATCTGGGAGAAGGGGATGGAATCTGGGAGAAGGGGATGGGATCTGGGAGAAGGGGATGGGATCTGGAAGAAGGGGATGGAATCTGGGAGAAGGGGATGGAATCTGGGAGAAGGGGATAGAATCTGGGAGAAGGGGATGGAATCTGGGAGAAGGGGATGGAATATGGGAGAAGGGGATGGAATCTGGGAGAAGGGGATGGAATTTGGGAGAAGGGGATGGAATCTGGGAGAAGGGGATGGAATCTGGGAGAAGGGGATGGAATCTGGGAGAAGGGGATGGAATCTAGGAGAAGGGGATGGGATCTGGGAGAAGGGGATGGAATGTGGGAGAAGGGGGTGGAATCTGGGAGAAGGGGATGAAATCTGGGAGAAGGGGATGGAATCTAGGAGAAGGAGATGGAATCTGGGAGAAGGGGATGGAATCTGGGAGAAGGGGATGGAATCTGGGAGAAGGGGATAGAATGAGGGAGAAGGGGATGGAATCTGGGAGAAGGGGATGGAATCTGGGAGGAGGGGATGGAATCTGGTAGAAGGGGATGGAATCTGGGAGAAGGGGATGGAATCTGGGAGAAGGGGATGGAATCTGAGAGAAGGGGATGGAATCTGGGAGAAGGGGATGAAATCTGGGAGAAGGGGGTGGACTCTGGGAGAAGGGGATGGAATCTGGGAGAAGAGGATAGAATCTGGGAGAAGGGGATGGAATCTGGGAGAAGGGGATGGAATCTGGGAGAAGGGGATGGAATCAGGGAGAAGGGGATGGAATCTGGGAGAAGGGGATGGAATCTGGGAGAAGGGGGTGGAATCTGGGAGAGAGGGATGGAATCGGGGAGAAGGGGATGGAATATGGGAGAAGGGGATGGAATCTGGAAGAAGGGGATGGAATATGGGAGAAGGGGATGGAATGAGGGAAAAGGGGATGGAATCTGGGAGAAGGGGATGGAATCTGGGAGAAGGGGATGGAATCTAGGAGAAGGGGATGAAATCTGGGAGAAGGGATGGAATCTGGGAGAAGGGTATGGAATAAGGGAGAAGGGGATGGAATCTGGGAGAAGGGGATGGAAACTGCGAGAAGGGGATGGAATATGGGAGAAAGGGATGGGATCTGGGAGAAGAGGATGGAATCAGGGAGAAGGGTATAGAATCTGGGAGAAGGGGATGGAATATGGGAGAAGGGGATGGAATCTGGGAGAAGGGGATGGAATATGGGAGAAGGGGATGGAATCTGGGAGAAGGGGATGGAATATGGGAGAAGGGGATGGAATCAGGGAGAAGGGGATGGAATGTGGGAGAAGGGGATGGAATCTGGGAGAAGGGGATGGGATCTGGGAGAAGGGGATGGAATATGGGAGAAGGGGATGGAATCTGGGAGAAGGGGATAGAATCTGGGAGAAGGGGATGGAATCTGGGAGGAGGGGATGGAATCTGAGAGAAGGGGATGGAATCTGGGAGAAGGGGGTGGAATCTGGAAGAAGGGGATGGAATCTGGGAGAAGGGGATAGAATCTGGGAGAAGGGGATGGAATCTGGGAGAAGGGGATGGAATCTAGGAGAAGGGGATGGAATCTGGGAGAAGGGGATGGAATCTGGGAGAAGGGGATGGTATCAAGGAGAAGGGGATAGAATCCGGGAGAAGGGGATGGAATGAGGGAGAAGGGGATGCAATCTGGGAGAAGGGGATGGAATCTGGGAGAAGGGGATGGAATCTGGGAGAAGGGAATGGAATCTGGGAGAAGGGGATGGAATTTGGGAGAAGGGGATGGAATCAGGGAGAAGGGGGTGGAATCTGGAAGAAGGGGATGTAATCTGGGAGAAGGGGATGGAATCTGGGAGAAGGGGATGGAATCTGGGAGAAGGGGATGGAATCTGCGAGAAGGGGATGGAATATGGGAGAAGGGGATGGGATCCGGGAGAAGGGGATGGAATCTGGGAGAAGGGTATGGAATCTGGGAGAAGGGGATGGAATCTTGGAGAAGGGGATGGAATCTGGGAGAAGGGGATGGAATCTGGGAGAAGGGGATGGAATCAGTGAGAAGGGGGTGGAATCAAGGAGAAGGGGATAGAATCTGGGAGAAGGGGATGGAATCTGGGAGAAGGGGATGCAATCTGGGAGAAGGGGGTGGAATCAGGGAGAAGGGGATGGAATCTGGGAGAAGGGGATGGAATCTGGGAGAAGGGGATGGAATCTGGGAAAAGGGGATGGAATCTGGGAGAAGGGGATGAAATCTGGGAGAAGGGGATGGAATCTGGGAGAAGGGGATGGAATCTGGGAGAAGGGATGGAATCTGGGAGAAGGGTATGGAATCAGGGAGAAGGGGATGGAATCTGGGAGAAGGGGATGGAATCTGCGAGAAGGGGATGGAATATGGGAGAAGGGGATGGGATCCGGGAGAAGAGGATGGAATCATGGAGAAGGGTATGGAATCTGGGAGAAGGGGATGGAATATGGGAGAAGGGGATGGAATCTGGGAGAAGGGGACGGAATCTGGGAGAAGGGGATGGAATCTGGGAGAAGGGGATGGAATATGGGAGAAGGGGATGGAATCTGGGAGAAGGGGATGGAATCTGGGAGAAGGGGATGGAATCTGGGAGAAGGGGATGGGATCTGGGAGAAGGGGATGGAATCTGGGAGAAGGGGATGGAATCTGGGAGAAGGGGATAGAATCTGGGAGAAGGGGATGGAATCTGGGAGAAGGGGATGGAATATGGGAGAAGGGGATGGAATCTGGGAGAACGTGATGGAATTTGGGAGAAGGGGATGGAATCTGGGAGAAGGGCATGGAATCTGGGAGAAGGGGATGGAATCTGGGAGAAGGGGATGGAATCTAGGAGAAGGGGATGGGATCTGGGAGAAGGGGATGGAATGTGGGAGAAGGGGGTGGAATTTGGGAGAAGGGGATGAAATCTGGGAGAAGGGGATGGAATCTAGGAGAAGGGGATGGAATCTGGGAGAAGGGGATGGAATCTGGGAGAAGGGGATGGAATCTGGAAGAAGGGGATAGAATGAGGGAGAAGGGGATGGAATCTGGGACAAGGGGATGGAATCTCGGAGGAGGGGATGGAATCTGGGAGAAGGGGATGGAATCTGGGAGAAGGGGATGGAATCTGGGAGAAGGGGATGGAATCTGGGAGAAGGGGATGGAATCTGGGAGAAGGGGATGAAATCTGGGAGAAGGGGATGGACTCTGGGAGAAGGGGATGGAATCTAGGAGAAGGGGATAGAATCTGGGAGAAGGGGATGGAATCTGGGAGAAGGGGATGGAATCTGGGAGAAGGGGATGGAATCAGGGAGAAGGGGATGGAATCTGGGAGAAGGGGATGGAATCTGGGAGAAGGGGGTGGAATCTGGGAGAGAGGGATGGAATCGGGGAGAAGGGGATGGAATATGGGAGAAGGGGATGGAATCTGGAAGAAGGGGATGGAATATGGGAGAACGATATGGAATGAGGGAGAAGAGGATGGAATCTGGAAGAAGGGGATGGAATCTGGGAGAAGGGGATGGAATATGGGAGAAGGGGACAGAATCTGGGAGAAGGGGATGGAATGATGGAGAAGGGGATGGAATCTGGGAGAAGGGGATAGAATATGGGAGAAGGGGATGGAATCTGGGAGAAGGATGGAATCTGGGAGAAGGGGATGGAATCTGGGAGAAGGGGATGGAATGAGGGAAAAGGGGATGGAATCAGGGAGAAGGGGATGGAATCTGGGAGAAGGGGATGGAATCTGGGAAAAGGGGATGGAATCTGAGAGAAGGGGATGGAATATGGGAGAAGGGGATGGAATCTGGGAGAAGGGGATGGAATCTGGGAGAAGGGGATGGAATCTGGGAGAAGGGGATGAAATTTGGGAGAAGGGGATGGAATCGGGGAGAAGGGGATGGAATATGGGAGAAGGGGATGGAATCTGGGAGAAGGGGGTGGAATCGAGGAGAAGGGGATTGAATCTGGGAGAAGGGGATGGAATCGGGGAGAAGGGAATGGAACGAGGGAGAAGGGGATGGAATCGAGGAGAAGGGGATGGAATCTGGGAGAAGGGGATGGAATATGGGAGAAGGGGATGGAATCTGGGAGAAGGGGATGGAATTCGGGAGAAGGGTATGGAATCTGGGAGAAGGGGATGGAATCTGGGAGAAGGGGATGGAATCTGGGAGAAGGGGATGGAATCTAGGAGAAGGGGATGGGATCTGAGAGAAGGGGATGGAATGTGGGAGAAGGGGGTGGAATCTGGGAGAAGGGGATGAAATCTGGGAGAAGGGGATGGAATCTAGGAGAAGGGATGGAATCTGGGAGAAGGGGATGGAATCTGGGAGAAGGGGATGAAATCTGGGAGAAGGGGGTGGACTCTGGGAGAAGGGGATGGAAGCTAGGAGAAGGGGATAGAATCTGGGAGAAGGGGATGGAATCTGGGAGAAGGGGATGGAATCTGGGAGAAGGGGATGGAATCAGGGAGAAGGGGATGGAATCTGGGAGAAGGGGATGGAATCTGGGAGAAGGGGGTGGAATCTGGGAGAGAGGGATGGAATTGGGGAGAAGGGGATGGAATATGGGAGAAGGGGGTGGAATCTGGAAGAAGGGGATGGAATATGGGAGAACGATATAGAATGAGGGAGAAGAGGATGGAATCTGGAAGAAGGGGATGGAATCTGGGAGAAGGGGATGGAATCTGGGAGAAGGGGACAGAATCTGGGAGAAGGGGATGGAATGATGGAGAAGGGGATGGAATCTGGGAGAAGGGGATAGAATATGGGAGAAGGGGATGGAATCTGGGAGAAGGATGGAATCTGGGAGAAGGGGATGGAATCTGGGAGAAGGGGATGGAATGAGGGAAAAGGGGATGGAATCTGGGAGAAGGGGATGGAATCTGGGAGAAGGGGATGGAATCTGGGAAAAGGGGATGGAATCTGAGAGAAGGGGATGGAATATGGGAGAAGGGGATGGAATCTGGGAGAAGGGGATGGAATCTGGGAGAAGGGGATGGAATCTCGGAGAAGGGGATGGAATTTGGGAGAAGGGGATGGAATCGGGGAGAAGGGGATGGAATATGGGAGAAGGGGATGGAATCTGGGAGAAGGGGGTGGAATCGGGGAGAAGGGGATTGAATCTGGGAGAAGGGGATGGAATCGGGGAGAAGGGGATGGAACGAGGGAGAAGGGGATGGAATCGAGGAGAAGGGGATGGAATCTGGGAGAAGGGGATGGAATATGGGAGAAGGGGATGGAATCTGGGAGAAGGGGATGGAATTTGGGAGAAGGGTATGGAATCTGGGAGAAGGGGATGGAATCTGGGAGAAGGGGATGGAATCTGGGAGAAGGGGATGGAATCTAGGAGAAGGGGATGGGATCTGAGAGAAGGGGATGGAATGTGGGAGAAGGGGGTGGAATCTGGGAAAAGGGGATGAAATCTGGGAGAAGGGGATGGAATCTAGGAGAAGGGGATGGAATCTGGGAGAGGGGGATGGAATCTGGGAGAAGGGGATGGAATCTGGGAGAAGGGATGGAATCTGGGAGAAGGGGATGGAATCAGGGAGAAGGGGATGGAATCTGGGAGAAGGAGATGGAATCTGGGAGAAGGGGATGGAATCTGGGAGAAGGGGATGGAGTATGGGAGAAGGGGATGGAATCTGGGAGAAGGGGATGGAATCTGGGAGAAGGGGATAGAATGAGGGAGAAGGGGATGGAATCTGGGAGAAGGGGATGGAATCTGGGAGGAGGGGATGGAATCTGCGAGAAGGGGATGGAATCTGGGAGAAGGGGATGGAATCTGGGAGAAGGGGAGAGAATCTGGGAGAAGGGAATGGAATCTGGCAGAAGGGGATGGAATATGGGAGAAGGGGATGGAATATGGGAGAAGGGGATGGAATCTGGGAGAAGGGGATGGAATGTGGGAGAAGGGGATGGAATATGGGAGAAGGGGGTGGAATCTGGGAGAAGGGGATGAAATCTGGGAGAAGGGGGTGGACTCTGGGAGAAGGGGATGGAATCTGGGAGAAGGGGATAGAATCTGGGAGAAGGGGATGGAATCTGGGAGAAGGGGATGGAATCTGGGAGAAGGGGATGGAATCAGGGAGAAGGGGATGGAATCTGGGAGAAGGGGATGGAAAATGGGAGAAGGGGGTGGAATCTCGGAGAGAGGGATGGAATCTGGGAGAAGGGGGTGGAATCTGGGAGAAGGAGATGGAATCTGGGAGAAGGGGATGGAATCTGGGAGAAGGGGATGGAATCTGGGAGAAGGGGATGGAATATGGGAGAAGGGGATGGAATCTGGGAGAAGGGGATGGAATCTCGGAGAAGGGGATAGAATGTGGGAGAAGGGGATGGAATCTGGGAGAAGAAAGATGGAACCTGGGAGAAGGGGATGGAATCTGGGAGAAGGGGATGGAATCTGGGAGAAGGGGATGGAATCTGGGAGAAGGGGATGGAATCTGGGAGAAGGGATGGAATCTGGGAGAAGGGTATGGAATCAGGGAGAAGGGGATGGAATCTGGGAGAAGGGGATGGAATCTGCGAGAAGGGGATGGAATATGGGAGAAGGGGATGGGATCCGGGAGAAGAGGATGGAATCAGGGAGAAGGGTATGGAATCTGGGAGAAGGGGATGGAATATGGGAGAAGGGGATGGAATCTGGGAGAAGGGGATGGAATCTGGGAGAAGGGGATGGAATCTGGGAGAAGGGGATGGAATATGGGAGAAGGGGATGGAATCTGGGAGAAGGGGATGGAATCTGGGAGAAGGGGATGGAATCTGGGAGAAGGGGATGGGATCTGGGAGAAGGGGATGGAATCTGGGAGAAGGGGATGGAATCTGGGAGAAGGGGATGGAATCTCGGAGAAGGGGATGGAATCTGGGAGAAGGGGATGGAATCTGGGAGAAGGGGATGGGATCAGGGAGAAGGGGATGGAATCTGGGAGAAGGGGATGGAATCTGGGAGAAGGGGATAGAATTTGGGAGAAGGGGATGGAATCTGGGAGAAGGGGATGGAATATGGGAGAAGGGGATGGAATCTGGGAGAACGGGATGGAATTTGGGAGAAGGGGATGGAATCTGGGAGAAGGGGATGGAATCTGGGAGAAGGGGATGGAATCTGGGAGAAGGGGATGGAATCTAGGAGAAGGGGATGGGATCTGGGAGAAGGGGATGGAATGTGGGAGAAGGGGGTTGAATCTGGGAGAAGGGGATGGAATCTAGGAGAAGGGGATAGAATCTGGGAGAAGGGGATGGAATCTGGGAGAAGGGGATGGAATCTCGGAGAAGGGGATGGAATCAGGGAGAAGGGGATGGAATCTGGGAGAAGGGGATGGAATCTGGGAGAACGATATAGAATGAGGGAGAAGAGGATGGAATCTGGAAGAAGGGGATGGAATCTGGGAGAAGGGGATGGAATCTGGGAGAAGGGGACATAATCTGGGAGAAGGGGATGGAATGATGGAGAAGGGGATGGAATCTGGGAGAAGGGGATAGAATATGGGAGAAGGGGATGGAATCTGGGAGAAGGATGGAATCTGGGAGAAGGGGATGGAATCTGGGAGAAGGGGATGGAATGAGGGAAAAGGGGATGGAATCTGGGAGAAGGGGATGGAATCTGGGAGAAGGGGATGGAATCTGGGAAAAGGGGATGGAATCTGAGAGAAGGGGATGGAATATGGGAGAAGGGGATGGAATCTGGGAGAAGGGGATGGAATCTGGGAGAAGGGGATGGAATCTGGGAGAAGGGGATGGAATTTGGGAGAAGGGGATGGAATCAGGGAGAAGGGGATGGAATATGGGAGAAGGGGATGGAATCTGGGAGAAGGGGGTGGAATCGGGGAGAAGGGGATTGAATCTGGGAGAAGGGGATGGAATCGGGGAGAAGGGGATGGAACGAGGGAGAAGGGGATGGAATCGAGGAGAAGGGGATGGAATCTGGGAGAAGGGGATGGAATATGGGAGAAGGGGATGGAATCTGGGAGAAGGGGATGCAATTTTGGAGAAGGGTATGGAATCTGGGAGAAGGGGATGGAATCTGGGAGAAGGGGATGGAATCTTGGAGAAGGGGATGGAATCTAGGAGAAGGGGATGGGATCTGAGAGAAGGGGATGGAATGTGGGAGAAGGGGGTGGAATCTGGGAGAAGGGGATGAAATCTGGGAGAAGGGGATGGAATATAGGAGAAGGGGATGGAATCAGGGAGAAGGGGATGGAATCAGGGAGAAGGGGATGGAATCTGGGAGAAGGGGATAGAATCAGGGAGAAGGGGATGGAATCTGGGAGAAGGGGATGGAATCTGGGAGAAGGGGATGGAATCTGGGAGAAGGGGATGGAATCTCGGAGAAGGGGATAGAATGTGGGAGAAGGGGATGGAATCTGGGAGAAGAAAGATGGAACCTGGGAGAAGGGGATGGAATCTGGGAGAAGGGGATGGAATCTGGGAGAAGGGGATGGAATCTGGGAGAAGGGGATGGAATCTGGGAGAAGGGATGGAATCTGGGAGAAGGGTATGGAATCAGGGAGAAGGGGATGGAATCTGGGAGAAGGGGATGGAATCTGCGAGAAGGGGATGGAATATGGGAGAAGGGGATGGGATCCGGGAGAAGAGGATGGAATCAGGGAGAAGGGTATGGAATCTGGGAGAAGGGGATGGAATATGGGAGAAGGGGATGGAATCTGGGAGAAGGGGATGGAATCTGGGAGAAGGGGATGGAATCTGGGAGAAGGGGATGGAATCTGGGAGAAGGGGATGGAATCTGGGAGAAGGGGATGGAATCTGGGAGAAGGGGATGGAATCTCGGAGAAGGGGATAGAATGTGGGAGAAGGGGATGGAATCTGGGAGAAGGGGATGGAATCTGGGAGAAGGGGATGGAATATGGGAGAAGGGGATGGAATCTGGGAGAAGGGGATGGAATCTGGGAGAAGGGGATGGAATCTGGGAGAAGGGGATGGGATCTGGGAGAAGGGGATGGAATCTGGGAGAAGGGGATGGAATCTGGGAGAAGGGGATGGAATCTCGGAGAAGGGGATGGAATCTGGGAGAAGGGGATGGAATCTGGGAGAAGGGGATGGGATCAGGGAGAAGGGGATGGAATCTGGGAGAAGGGGATGGAATCTGGGAGAAGGGGATAGAATTTGGGAGAAGGGGATGGAATCTGGGAGAAGGGGATGGAATATGGGAGAAGGGGATGGAATCTGGGAGAACGGGATGGAATTTGGGAGAAGGGGATGGAATCTGGGAGAAGGGGATGGAATCTGGGAGAAGGGGATGGAATCTGGGAGAAGGGGATGGAATCTAGGAGAAGGGGATGGGATCTGGGAGAAGGGGATGGAATGTGGGAGAAGGGGGTTGAATCTGGGAGAAGGGGATGGAATCTAGGAGAAGGGGATGGAATCTGGGAGAAGGGGATGGAATCTGGGAGAAGGGGATGGAATCTCGGAGAAGGGGATGGAATCAGGGAGAAGGGGATGGAATCTGGGAGAAGGGGATGGAATCTGGGAGAACGATATAGAATGAGGGAGAAGAGGATGGAATCTGGAAGAAGGGGATGGAATCTGGGAGAAGGGGATGGAATCAGGGAGAAGGGGACAGAATCTGGGAGAAGGGGATGGAATGATGGAGAAGGGGATGGAATCTGGGAGAAGGGGATAGAATATGGGAGAAGGGGATGGAATCTGGGAGAAGGATGGAATCTGGGAGAAGGGGATGGAATCTGGGAGAAGGGGATGGAATGAGGGAAAAGGGGATGGAATCTGGGAGAAGGGGATGGAATCTGGGAGAAGGGGATGGAATCTGGGAAAAGGGGATGGAATCTGAGAGAAGGGGATGGAATATGGGAGAAGGGGATGGAATCTGGGAGAAGGGGATGGAATCTGGGAGAAGGGGATGGAATCTGGGAGAAGGGGATGGAATTTGGGAGAAGGGGATGGAATCAGGGAGAAGGGGATGGAATATGGGAGAAGGGGATGGAATCTGGGAGAAGGGGGTGGAATCGGGGAGAAGGGGATTGAATCTGGGAGAAGGGGATGGAATCGGGGAGAAGGGGATGGAACGAGGGAGAAGGGGATGGAATCGAGGAGAAGGGGATGGAATCTGGGAGAAGGGGATGGAATATGGGAGAAGGGGATGGAATCTGGGAGAAGGGGATGCAATTTTGGAGAAGGGTATGGAATCTGGGAGAAGGGGATGGAATCTGGGAGAAGGGGATGGAATCTTGGAGAAGGGGATGGAATCTAGGAGAAGGGGATGGGATCTGAGAGAAGGGGATGGAATGTGGGAGAAGGGGGTGGAATCTGGGAGAAGGGGATGAAATCTGGGAGAAGGGGATGGAATCTAGGAGAAGGGGATGGAATCTGGGAGAGGGGGATGGAATCTGGGGGAAGGGGATGGAATCTAGGAGAAGGGATGGAATCTGGGAGAAGGGGATGGAATCAGGGAGAAGGGGATGGAATCTGGGAGAAGGGGATGGAATCTGGGAGAAGGGGATGGAATCTGGGAGAAGGGGATGGAATCTGGGAGAAGGGGATGGAATCTGGGAGAAGGGGATGGAATCGGGGAGAAGGGGATAGAATGAGGGAGAAGGGGATGGAATCTGGGAGAAGGGGATGGAATCTGGGAGGAGGGGATGGAATCTGCGAGAAGGGGATGGAATCTGGGAGAAGGGGATGGAATCTGGGAGAAGGGGATGGAATCTGGGAGAAGGGGATGGAATCTGGGAGAAGGGGATGGAATCTGGGAGAAGGGGATGAAATCTGGGAGAAGGGGGTGAAATCTGCGAGAAGGGGATGGAATCTGGGAGAAGGGGATGGAATCTGGGAGAAGGGGATGGAATCTGGGAGAAGGGGATGGAATCTGGCAGAAGGGGATGGAATCTGGGAGAAGGGGATGGAATATGGGAGAAGGGGATGGAATCTGGGAGAAGGGGATGGAATGTGGGAGAAGGGGATGGAATATGGGAGAAGGGGGTGGAATCTGGGAGAAGGGGATGAAATCTGGGAGAAGGGGGTGGACTCTGGGAGAAGGGGATGGAATCTGGGAGAAGGGGATAGAATCTGGGAGAAGGGGATGGAATCTGGGAGAAGGGGATGGAATCTGGGAGAAGGGGATGGAATCAGGGAGAAGGGGATGGAATCTGGGAGAAGGGGATGGAATCTGGGAGAAGGGGGTGGAATCTGGGAGAGAGGGATGGAATCTGGGAGAAGGGGGTGGAATCTGGGAGAAGGAGATGGAATCTGGGAGAAGGGGATGGAATCTGGGAGAAGGGGATGGAATCTGGGAGAAGGGGATGGAATATGGGAGAAGGGGATGGAATCTGGGAGAAGGGGATGGAATCTGGGAGAAGGAAATGGAATCTGGGAGAAGGGGATGGAATATGGGAGAAGGGGATGGAATATGGGAGAAGGGGATGGAATCTGGAAGAAGGGGATGGAATATGGGAGAACGATATGGAATGAGGGAGAAGAGGATGGAATCTGGAAGAAGGGGATGGAGTCTGGGAGAAGGGGATGGAATCGGGGAGAACGGGACAGAATCTAGGAGAAGTGGATGGAATGATGGAGAAGGGGATGGAATCTGGGAGAAGGGGATAGAATATGGGAGAAGGGGATGGAATCTGGGAGAAGGATGGAATCTGGGAGAAGGGGATGGAATCTGGGAGAAGGGGATGGAATGAGGGAGAAGGGGATGGAATCTGGGAGAAGGGGATGGAATTTGGGAGAAGGGGATGGAATCTGGGAGAAGGGGATGGAATCTGAGAGAAGGGGATGGAGTATGGGAGAAGGGGATGGAATCTGGGAGAAGGGGATGGAATCTGGGAGAAGGGGATGGAATCTGGGAGAAGGGGATGGAATATGGGAGAAGGGGATGGAATCGGGGAGAAGGGGATGGAATCTGGGAGAAGGGGATGGAATCTGGGAGAAGGGGATGGAATTTGGGAGAAGGGGATGGAATCGGGGAGAAGGGGATGGAATCTGGGAGAAGGAAATGGAATCTGGGAGAAGGGGATGGAATATGGGAGAAGGGGATGGAATCTGGGAGAAGGGGATGGAATCTTGGAGAAGGAAATGGAATCTGGGAGAACGATATGGAATGAGGGAGAAGAGGATGGAATATGGGAGAAGGGGATGGAATCTGGAAGAAGGGGATGGAATATGGGAGAACGATATGGAATGAGGGAGAAGAGGATGGAATCTGGAAGAAGGGGATGGAGTCTGGGAGAAGGGGATGGAATCTGGGAGAACGGGACAGAATCTGGGAGAAGTGGATGGAATGATGGAAAAGGGGATGGAATCTGGGAGAAGGGGATAGAATATGGCAGAAGGGGATGGAATCTGGGAGAAGGGGATGGAATCTGGGAGAAGGTGATAGAATCTAGGAGAAGGGGATGGAATCTGGGAGAAGGGGGTGGAATCAGGGAGAAGGGGATGGAATCTGGGAGAAGGGGATGGAATCGGGGAGAAGGGGATGGAACGAGGGAGAAGGGGATGGAATCGAGGAGAAGGGGATGGAATCTGGGAGAAAGGGATGGAATTTGGGAGAAGGGGATGGAATCTGGGAGAAGGGGCTGGAATCGGGGAGAAGGGGATGGAATCTGGGAGAAGGGGATGGAATCTGGGAGTAGGGGATGGAATCTGGGAGAAGGGGATGGAACGAGGGAGAAGGGGATGGAATCTGGGAGAAGGGGATGGAATCTGGGAGAAGGGGATGTAATCTGGGAGAAGGGGATGGAATCTGGGAGAAGGGGATGGAATCTGGGAGAAGGGGATGGAATCAGGGAGAAGGGGATGGAATATGGGAGAAGGGGATGGAATCTGGGAGAAGGGGATGGAATCTGAAAGAAGGGGATGCGGAGATAACTACTTCAACGGGAGCTAGTCTACGGGCTAGGCACGGATGCTTGTGTGATCTCTGCGTTCTCTGTTCCTTAGTTGTTTCCTAGTGCACACACTGCTTGCTAGGTCACAAGGCAATTTGGCAAGAGTTTCACTAGAGAAAGTTCAGAACAATGGTACAATGAAGTTGGCAATGCTAGACTACATGAGAGCAAATATCCAAGTCGGCCAACTGCCAGCGCAGCTTGGTCGACCGCGTTCCAGCACGACTACGTCGACCGCGCTCCAGCAAGGCAAGGTTGACGGCGTGCCAACAACGCAGGTTGACGGCGTGCCAGCGCTGCTCACGCAGAACAGCAGTGCATCCGCTTCGCAGGTGCGCGCAGATAATTGGCGTGCAGAGCCTCGTCACCTGCACAGCGCACACACCACGTCAACTTCCCACTGACGACTGCTTTTGATCCGCAGCGACGACCTCGGGATACCATCACCGAGGTCGGGCTCGCCAACTCCGCCTGGGCGATCATCGCACTCCTCCGCAGCACTTCGTCACCCAGGTATCTGGTCGATTGGGCTACCACGTCGACCAGCCGCTCCCGTACGTGCCCGTCGACCTCCCAAGTCGACGACCACCTCCACGTCGACCTCACCAGGCCGACGGCACCCTCGGTCGACTTCCCCCAAGTCGACGTCACTCCTGGCCGACCTGCTTCTCGTCGACCAGCACAGTTGTCGGCCGACCACCCAAGTCGGCCACCCGAAGTCGGCGTCAAGAAGTTGACGCCCCGCCACTTCGACGCCCAACAGCTCGGCGTCCTGGGTCGAGGTCGACGTCGGCCCCTCCTTCGTCGACCATCTCTTCTGCAGGTCGACTCCCAAGTCGACCTCCCCTGAAGTCGGCGCCATCCCAAAGTTGGCGCCCGTGCAGTGACCCCCGTGCAGGTCGACCTCCTCCTCGACCAGCTCGTCCACTGCTGCAAGTCAGCTGCTCCCCTCGCACCCGACTACGAAGTCGGCTCCACCCAAGCGAGGACGGGGCCAACACCCAACTCCAGTTGACACTCCCCTGCCGCGTTCACGCTTGGGCACCCAGCCTACACGACAGAATACCTCGGAGACTCGCTCGTCGACGTGCACCCAACACACAGCACGTCGTCCACCGCACCAGCCATGCAAGAGGGCATGGCACCTACTGCTGCACGTCGTCGTCGCCGTCGCCCACGTCGGCCAAGCGCACCTGGCCGATGGCGATGGAGCACCGGTTGAAGGCCGGATAGTGCAGTGCCTTCGTCAAGAAGTCGGCCGGCTGCTCAGCGGTCGGGATGTACTGCAGCGAGAACTTCCCGCGCTTCACCATGTACTGCAGCGAGAACTTCCCGCGCTTCCCGCACTTCCCGGCTGCTCAGCGGTCGGGATGTACTGCGTCCGCCCGGTCTGCTCTTCGTCTATGAAGCGCCTACGCAGCTTGTCGGCATAGCCCTGCTGGTGCAGCCACAGCTTCCCCGCCGACCTGTCGCGGACGATCTCCAGCCCTAGGTACTTCTGCACCGGCGAGATCTCACGCAGCTCGAAGGCGGACTCCAGCAGCGCCTTCAACTCCTTCAGCATCTCGGTGCTGCGGCTGGCGGCGAGCAGGTCGTCGATGTAGACCAGCACCCAGCAGGCCACTCCGTCCTCTCCGACCTTGAAGTAAAGAGCCTCGTCGACCTGGCTCTTCTTCCACCTGGCCCCGACCAGCACGTCGTTGAGCGCCAAGTACCACAACAGCGGCGACTGCTTCAGCCCGTACAGGCTCTTCAGCATCTTGCAGACCCGGCCGGTTCCGTCGTTGAAGTAGTCCGGCTGGGCCATGAAGAGCACCCGGTCGAGCTTGCTCTGCAGGAAGGCGTTCTTCATGTCGAGCTGCATCAGGTTGAGGTTGAGGATGGCGACGATGCTGAGGAAGATCCTCAGCGTGACGTAGCTGCCCACCGGCGCGAACGTCTCGTCGTAGTCGGCGCCATACACCTGAGTGAAGCCCTTCACGACCAGCCTTGCCTTCTCGCGCTCGACGGTGTCGTCGACGTGGTACTTCATCGTCAACACCCACCGGTTCTTCATGATGTTGACTCCCGGCGGGCGTTCGACCAGCTCCCAAGTCCCCATGTTGATTAGGCTTCGGATCTCCTCCTCCATGGCGGCCTTCACCGCCGGGCCCTTCCAGCTCGCCAACGCCTCCTTCACCGTCATCGTCGAGGTATCCCAATGGTGCTCGGGGTCAGCATGCATGTCGGGGTCGAGCTCCGGAAACTCCTCATCTTCTTCGGCGTCGTCATACAGCAGGTCGTCGTCGTCGTCGACGTCGTAGACCGTGGTGAAGGCAGCGGGAACAAATCGGTCTGGCGGCCTCCGGACTCTGTCCGACTTCCAGGTTGCCGGACGGACCTCCACCACATCGCTCTCGGTGGACTCTCCGGCGTCACCGTCTTCGCTGCACACGTCGTCCTGCTGCACCTCGGTCGACTTCCAGGTCGACCTCTCCCCTGTGGTCGGCTCCCCTGCCGACTGCCCGGTCGTCGACTGCCCCATAGTCGGCTTCACGGCTGCCTGCTCCCCTGTCGGCTGCTGCACCTCGACCTGTTCCTCCCCTGTCGACGTCGGCGTCAAGCCCATGTCGACCAGCCTCTCGTCACGTCGGCCACCGGCGATGCACCTGGCCGGCGCCGATAGCGACGTCCCACAACTCCCCTCATCGCCGGAGGCCGACACCGAGGTCAGCCCACGCAGATCGGCCACGAGGGGAGGGGCAGGGGTCGGAGGGGTAGGGGAGTGGACGTCCTCGACGTCCTCATCAGCAAGCTCGCCGACCTCGGCAAGCAGCGGCAGCGTCGCCGACGAGGTGTCAGAGGGCGGAGTGGACGAGTAGCCGGACACCGGCCCATGCTCCAACTTCCACTCGGCCAGTGACATCTCCTCGTAGAACACCACGTCCGACGTGGTGACCACCCAGTTGGCGTCGACGTCGAGGAGCTCCCAGCCCTTGCTCGCCGCCGACACACCAAGGTGAAGGCCCCACCGGGCCTTCGGCTTCAGCTTCCCACCACGCCCGCCGAGGGGCAGGAATCTGGGAGAATGGGATGGAATCTAGGAGAAGGGGATGGAATCTGGGAGAAGGAGATGGAATCTGGGAGAAGGGGATGGAATCTGGGAGAAGGGGATGGAATCTAGGAGAAGGGGATGGAATCAGGGAGAAGGGGATGGAATATGGGAGAAGGGGATGGAATCTGGGAGAAGGGGATGGAATCGGAGAGAAGGGGATGGAATATGGGAGAAGGGGATGGAATCTGGGAGAAGGGGATGGAATCTGGGAGAAGGGGATGGAATCTGGGAGAAGGGGATGGAATCTAGGAGAAGGGGATGGAATCTGTGAGAAAGGGGATGGAATCTGGGAGAAGGGGATGGAATCTGGGAGGAGGGGATGGAATCTGGGAGAAGGGGATTGAATCTGAGAGGGCGCGATGGAATCTGGGAGAAGGGGATGGAATCGGGGAGAAGGGGATGGAATCAGGGAGAAGGCGATGGAATGTGGGAGAAGGGGATGGAATGTGGGAGAAGGGGATGGAATCGGGGAGAAGGGGATGGAATCAGGGAGAAGGCGATGGAATGTGGGAGAAGGGGATGGAATCTGGGAGAAGGGGATGGAATCTGGGAGAAGGAGATGGAATGAGGGAGAAGAGGATGGAATCTGGGAGAAGGGGATGGAATCTGGAAGAAGGGGATGGAATCTGGGAGAAGGGAATGGAATATGGGAGAAGGGGATGGAATCTGGGAGAAGGGGATGGAATCTGGGAGAAGGGGATGGAATTAGGGAGAAGGGGATGGAAGCTGGAGAAGGGATGGAATCTGGGAGAAGGGGATGGAATCTGGGAGAAGGGGATGGAATCTGGGAGAAGGGGATGGAATCTGGGAGAAGGGGCTGGAATCTGGGAGAAGGGGATGGAATCGGGGAGAAGGGGATGGAATCTGGGAGAAGGGGATGGAATCTGGGAGAAGGGGATGGAATCTGGGAGAAGGGGATGGAATCTGGGAGAAGGGGATGGAATCAGGGAGAAGGGGATGGAATATGGGAGAAGGGGATGGAATCTGGGAGAAGGGGATGGAATCGGAGAGAAGGGGATGGAATATGGGAGAAGGGGATGGAATCTGGGAGAAGGGGATGGAACCTGGGAGAAGGAGATGGAATGAGGGAGAAGGGGATGGAATCTTGGACAAGGGGATGGAATCTGGGAGAAGGGGATGGAATCTGGGAGAAGGGGATGGAATCTGGGAGAAGGGGATCGAATCAGAGAGAAGGGGATGGAATCAGGGAGAAGGGATGGAATCTGGGAGAAGGGATGGAATCTGGGAGAAGGGGATGGAATCTGGGAGAAGGGGATGGAATCTGGGAGAAGGGGATGGAATCTGGGAGAAGGGGATGGAATTTGGGAGAAGGGGATGGAATCTGGGAGAAGGGGATGGAATCTGGAAGAAGGGGATGGAATCTGAGAAAAGGGGATGGAATCTGGGAGAAGGGGATGGAATATGGGAGAAGGGGATGGAATCTGGGAGAAGGGGATGGAATCTGGGAGAAGGGGATCGAATCAGGGAGAAGGGGATGGAATCTGGGAGAAGGGGATGGAATCTGCGAGAAGGGGATGGAATATGGGAGAAGGGGATGGAATTTGTCAGAAGGGGATGGAATTTGGGAGAAGGGGATGGAATCTGGAAGAAGGGGGTGGAATCTGGGAGAAGGAGATGGAATGAGGGAGAAGGGGATGGAATCTGGGAGAAGGGGATGGAATCTGGGAGAAGGGATGGAATCTGGGAGAAGGGGATGGAGTCTGGGAGGGCGGGATGGAATCTGGGAGAAGGGGATAGAATGAGGGAGAAGGGGATGGAATCTGGCAGAAGAGGATGGAATCTGGGAGAAGGGGATGGAATCTGTAGGAAGGCGATGGAATCTGGGAGAAGGGGATGGAATTTGGGAGAAGGGGATGGAATCAGGGAGAAGGGGATGGAATCTGGGAGAAGGGGATGGAATCTGGGAGAAGGGGATGGAATATGGGAGAAGGGGATGGAATCTGGGAGAAGGGGATGGAATCTGGGAGAAGGGGATGGAATCTGGGAGAAGGGGATGGAATCAGGGAGAAGGGGATGGAATCTGAGAGAAGGGGATGGAATCTGGGAGAAGGGGATGGAATCTGGGAGAAGGGGATGGAATCTGGGAGAAGGGGATGGAATCTAGGAGAAGGGGATGGAATCTGTGAGAAAGGGGATGGAATCTGGGAGAAGGGGATGGAATCTGGGAGGAGGGGATGGAATCTGGGAGAAGGGGATTGAATCTGAGAGGGCGCGATGGAATCTGGGAGAAGGGGATGGAATCTGGGAGAAGGGGATGGAATGAGGGAGAAGGGGATGGAATCGGGGAGAAGGGGATGGAATCTGGGAGAAGGGGATGGAATCTGGGAGAAGGGGATGGAATGTGGGAGAAGGGGATGGAATCTGGGAGAAGGGGATGGAATCTGGGAGAAGGGGATGGAATCTGGGAGAAGGGGATAGAATGAGGGAGAAGGGGATGGAATCTGGGAGAAGGGGATGGAATCTGGGAGGAGGGGATGGAATCTGCGAGAAGGGGATGGAATCTGGGAGAAGGGGATGGAATCTGGGAGAAGGGGATGGAATCTGGGAGAAGGGGATGGAATCTGGGAGAAGGGGATGGAATCAGGGAGAAGGGGATGGAATCTGAGAGAAGGGGATGGAATCTGGGAGAAGGGGATGGAATCTGGGAGAAGGGGATGGAATCTGGGAGAAGGGGATGGAATCTAGGAGAAGGGGATGGAATCTGTGAGAAAGGGGATGGAATCTGGGAGAAGGGGATGGAATCTGGGAGGAGGGGATGGAATCTGGGAGAAGGGGATTGAATCTGAGAGGGCGCGATGGAATCTGGGAGAAGGGGATGGAATCTGGGAGAAGGGGATGGAATGAGGGAGAAGGGGATGGAATCGGGGAGAAGGGGATGGAATCTGGGAGAAGGGGATGGAATCTGGGAGAAGGGGATGGAATGTGGGAGAAGGGGATGGAATCTGGGAGAAGGGGATGGAATCTGGGAGAAGGGGATGGAATCTGGGAGAAGGGGATAGAATGAGGGAGAAGGGGATGGAATCTGGGAGAAGGGGATGGAATCTGGGAGGAGGGGATGGAATCTGCGAGAAGGGGATGGAATCTGGGAGAAGGGGATGAAATCTGGGAGAAGGGGATGGAATCTGGGAGAAGGGGATGGAATCTGGGAGAAGGGGATGGAATCAGGGAGAAGGGGATGGAATCAGGGAGAAGGGGATGGAATCTGGGAGAAGGGGATGGAATCTGGGAGAAGGGGGTGGAATCTGGGAGAGAGGGATGGAATCGGGGAGAAGGGGATGGAATATGGGAGAAGGGGATGGAATCTGGGAGAACGATATGGAATGAGGGAGAAGAGGATGGAATCTGGAAGAAGGGGATGGAATCTGGGAGAAGGGGATGGAATCTGGGAGAAGGGGACAGAATCCGGGAGAAGGGGATGGAATGATGGAGAAAGGGATGGAATCTGGGAGAAGGGGATAGAAAATGGGAGAAGGGGATGGAATCTGGGAGAAGGATGGAATCTGGGAGAAGGGGATGGAATCTGGGAGAAGGGGATGGAATGAGGGAAAAGGGGATGGAATCTGGGAGAAGGGGATGGAATCTGGGAAAAGGGGATGGAATCTGAGAGAAGGGGATGGAATATGGGAGAAGGGGATGGAATCTGGGAGAAGGGGATGGAATCTGGGAGAAGGGGATGGAATATGGGAGAAGGGGATGGAATTTGGGAGAAGGGGATGGAATCGAGGAGAAGGGGATGGAATATGGGAGAAGGGGATGGAATATGGGAGAAGGGGGTGGAATCGGGGAGAAGGGGATTGAATCTGGGAGAAGGGGATGGAATCGGGGAGAAGGGGATGGAACGAGGGAGAAGGGGATGGAATCGAGGAGAAGGGGATGGAATCAGGGAGAAGGGGATGGAATATGGGAGAAGGGGATGGAATCAGGAAGAAGGGGATGGAATTTGGGAGAAGGGTATGGAATCTGGGAGAAGGGGATGGAATCTGGGAGAAGGGGATGGAATCTGGGAGAAGGGGATGGAATCTAGGAGAAGGGGATGGGATCTGAGAGAAGGGGATGGAACGAGGGAGAAGGGGGTGGAATATGGGAGAATGGGATGAAATCTGGGAGAAGGGGATGGAATCTAGGAGAAGGGGATGGAATCAGGGAGAAGGGGATGGAATCTGGGAGAAGGGGATGGAATCTGGGAGAAGGGGATAGAATCAGGGAGAAGGGGATGGAATCTGGGAGAAGGGGATGGAATCTGGGAGGAGGGGATGGAATCTGCGAGAAGGGGATGGAATCTGGGAGAAGGGGATGGAATCTGGGAGAAGGGGATGGAATCTGGGAGAAGGGGATGGAATCTGGGAGAAGGGGATGGAATCAGGGAGAAGGGGATGGAATCTGAGAGAAGGGGATGGAATCTGGGAGAAGGGGATGGAATATGGGAGAAGGGGATGGAATCTGGGAGAAGGGGATGGAATGTGGGAGAAGGGGATGGAATATGGGAGAAGGGGGTGAAATCTGGGAGAAGGGGATGAAATCTGGGAGAAGGGGGTGGACTCTGGGAGAAGGGGATGGAATCTGGGAGAAGGGGATAGAATCTGGGAGAAGGGGATGGAATCTGGGAGAAGGGGATGGAATCTGGGAGAAGGGGATGGAATCAGGGAGAAGGGGATGGAATCTGGGAGAAGGGGATGGAATCTGGGAGAAGGGGGTGGAATCTGGGAGAGAGGGATGGAATCTGGGAGAAGGGGGTGGAATCTGGGAGAAGGAGATGGAATCTGGGAGAAGGGGATGGAATCTGGGAGAAGGGGATGGAATCTGGGAGAAGGGGATGGAATATGGGAGAAGGGGATGGAATCTGGGAGAAGGGGATGGAATCTGGGAGAAGGAAATGGAATCTGGGAGAAGTTGATGGAATATGGGAGAAGGGGATGGAATATGGGAGAAGGGGATGGAATCTGGAAGAAGGGGATGGAATATGGGAGAACGATATGGAATGAGGGAGAAGAGGATGGAATCTGGAAGAAGGGGATGGAGTCTGGGAGAAGGGGATGGAATCGGGGAGAACGGGACAGAATCTGGGAGAAGTGGATGGAATGATGGAGAAGGGGATGGAATCTGGGAGAAGGGGATAGAATATGGGAGAAGGGGATGGAATCTGGGAGAAGGATGGAATCTGGGAGAAGGGGATGGAATCTGGGAGAAGGGGATGGAATGAGGGAGAAGGGGATGGAATCTGGGAGAAGGGGATGGAATTTGGGAGAAGGGGATGGAGTATGGGAGAAGGGGATGGAATCTGGGAGAAGGGGATGGAATCTGGGAGAAGGGGATGGAATCTGGGAGAAGGGGATGGAATATGGGAGAAGGGGATGGAATCGGGGAGAAGGGGATGGAATCTGGGAGAAGGGGATGGAATCTGGGAGAAGGGGATGGAATTTGGGAGAAGGGGATGGAATCGGGGAGAAGGGGATGGAATCTGGGAGAAGGAAATGGAATCTGGGAGAAGGGGATGGAATATGGGAGAAGGGGATGGAATCTGGGAGAAGGGGATGGAATCTTGGAGAAGGAAATGGAATCTGGGAGAACGATATGGAATGAGGGAGAAGAGGATGGAATATGGGAGAAGGGGATGGAATCTGGAAGAAGGGGATGGAATATGGGAGAACGATATGGAATGAGGGAGAAGAGGATGGAATCTGGAAGAAGGGGATGGAGTCTGGGAGAAGGGGATGGAATCTGGGAGAACGGGACAGAATCTGGGAGAAGTGGATGGAATGATGGAAAAGGGGATGGAATCTGGGAGAAGGGGATAGAATATGGCAGAAGGGGATGGAATCTGGGAGAAGGGGATGGAATCTGGGAGAAGGTGATAGAATCTAGGAGAAGGGGATGGAATCTGGGAGAAGGGGGTGGAATCAGGGAGAAGGGGATGGAATCGGGGAGAAGGGGATGGAACGAGGGAGAAGGGGATGGAATCGAGGAGAAGGGGATGGAATCTGGGAGAAAGGGATGGAATTTGGGAGAAGGGGATGGAATCTGGGAGAAGGGGCTGGAATCGGGGAGAAGGGGATGGAATCTGGGAGAAGGGGATGGAATCTGGGAGTAGGGGATGGAATCTGGGAGAAGGGGATGGAACGAGGGAGAAGGGGATGGAATCTGGGAGAAGGGGATGGAATCTGTGAGAAGGGGATGTAATCTGGGAGAAGGGGATGGAATCTGGGAGAAGGGGATGGAATCTGGGAGAAGGGGATGGAATCAGGGAGAAGGGGATGGAATATGGGAGAAGGGGATGGAATCTGGGAGAAGGGGATGGAATCTGAAAGAAGGGGATGCGGAGATAACTACTTCAACGGGAGCTAGTCTACGGGCTAGGCACGGATGCTTGTGTGATCTCTGCGTTCTCTGTTCCTTAGTCGTTTCCTAGTGCACACACTGCTTGCTAGGTCACAAGGCAATTTGGCAAGAGTTTCACTAGAGAAAGTTCAGAACAATGGTACAATGAAGTTGGCAATGCTAGACTACATGAGAGCAAATATCCAAGTCGGCCAACTGCCAGCGCAGCTTGGTCGACCGCGTTCCAGCACGACTACGTCGACCGCGCTCCAGCAAGGCAAGGTTGACGGCGTGCCAACAACGCAGGTTGACGGCGTGCCAGCGCTGCTCACGCAGAACAGCAGTGCATCCGCTTCGCAGGTGCGCGCAGATAATTGGCGTGCAGAGCCTCGTCACCTGCACAGCGCACACACCACGTCAACTTCCCACTGACGACTGCTTTTGATCCGCAGCGACGACCTCGGGATACCATCACCGAGGTCGGGCTCGCCAACTCCGCCTGGGCGATCATCGCACTCCTCCGCAGCACTTCGTCACCCAGGTATCTGGTCGATTGGGCTACCACGTCGACCAGCCGCTCCCGTACGTGCCCGTCGACCTCCCAAGTCGACGACCACCTCCACGTCGACCTCACCAGGCCGACGGCACCCTCGGTCGACTTCCCCCAAGTCGACGTCACTCCTGGCCGACCTGCTTCTCGTCGACCAGCACAGTTGTCGGCCGACCACCCAAGTCGGCCACCCGAAGTCGGCGTCAAGAAGTTGACGCCCCGCCACTTCGACGCCCAACAGCTCGGCGTCCTGGGTCGAGGTCGACGTCGGCCCCTCCTTCGTCGACCATCTCTTCTGCAGGTCGACTCCCAAGTCGACCTCCCCTGAAGTCGGCGCCATCCCAAAGTTGGCGCCCGTGCAGTGACCCCCGTGCAGGTCGACCTCCTCCTCGACCAGCTCGTCCACTGCTGCAAGTCAGCTGCTCCCCTCGCACCCGACTACGAAGTCGGCTCCACCCAAGCGAGGACGGGGCCAACACCCAACTCCAGTTGACACTCCCCTGCCGCGTTCACGCTTGGGCACCCAGCCTACACGACAGAATACCTCGGAGACTCGCTCGTCGACGTGCACCCAACACACAGCACGTCGTCCACCGCACCAGCCATGCAAGAGGGCATGGCACCTACTGCTGCACGTCGTCGTCGCCGTCGCCCACGTCGGCCAAGCGCACCTGGCCGATGGCGATGGAGCACCGGTTGAAGGCCGGATAGTGCAGTGCCTTCGTCAAGAAGTCGGCCGGCTGCTCAGCGGTCGGGATGTACTGCAGCGAGAACTTCCCGCGCTTCACCATGTACTGCAGCGAGAACTTCCCGCGCTTCCCGCACTTCCCGGCTGCTCAGCGGTCGGGATGTACTGCGTCCGCCCGGTCTGCTCTTCGTCTATGAAGCGCCTACGCAGCTTGTCGGCATAGCCCTGCTGGTGCAGCCACAGCTTCCCCGCCGACCTGTCGCGGACGATCTCCAGCCCTAGGTACTTCTGCACCGGCGAGATCTCACGCAGCTCGAAGGCGGACTCCAGCAGCGCCTTCAACTCCTTCAGCATCTCGGTGCTGCGGCTGGCGGCGAGCAGGTCGTCGATGTAGACCAGCACCCAGCAGGCCACTCCGTCCTCTCCGACCTTGAAGTAAAGAGCCTCGTCGACCTGGCTCTTCTTCCACCTGGCCCCGACCAGCACGTCGTTGAGCGCCAAGTACCACAACAGCGGCGACTGCTTCAGCCCGTACAGGCTCTTCAGCATCTTGCAGACCCGGCCGGTTCCGTCGTTGAAGTAGTCCGGCTGGGCCATGTAGAGCACCCGGTCGAGCTTGCTCTGCAGGAAGGCGTTCTTCATGTCGAGCTGCATCAGGTTGAGGTTGAGGATGGCGACGATGCTGAGGAAGATCCTCAGCGTGACGTAGCTGCCCACCGGCGCGAACGTCTCGTCGTAGTCGGCGCCATACACCTGAGTGAAGCCCTTCACGACCAGCCTTGCCTTCTCGCGCTCGACGGTGTCGTCGACGTGGTACTTCATCGTCAACACCCACCGGTTCTTCATGATGTTGACTCCCGGCGGGCGTTCGACCAGCTCCCAAGTCCCCATGTTGATTAGGCTTCGGATCTCCTCCTCCATGGCGGCCTTCACCGCCGGGCCCTTCCAGCTCGCCAACGCCTCCTTCACCGTCATCGTCGGGGTATCCCAATGGTGCTCGGGGTCAGCATGCATGTCGGGGTCGAGCTCCGGAAACTCCTCATCTTCTTCGGCGTCGTCATACAGCAGGTCGTCGTCGTCGTCGACGTCGTAGACCGTGGTGAAGGCAGCGGGAACAAATCGGTCTGGCGGCCTCCGGACTCTGTCCGACTTCCAGGTTGCCGGACGGACCTCCACCACATCGCTCTCGGTGGACTCTCCGGCGTCACCGTCTTCGCTGCACACGTCGTCCTGCTGCACCTCGGTCGACTTCCAGGTCGACCTCTCCCCTGTGGTCGGCTCCCCTGCCGACTGCCCGGTCGTCGACTGCCCCATAGTCGGCTTCACGGCTGCCTGCTCCCCTGTCGGCTGCTGCACCTCGACCTATTCCTCCCCTGTCGACGTCGGCGTCAAGCCCATGTCGACCAGCCTCTCGTCACGTCGGCCCACCGGCGATGCACCTGGCCGGCGCCGATAGCGACGTCCCACAACTCCCCTCATCGCCGGAGGCCGACACCGAGGTCAGCCCACGCAGATCGGCCACGAGGGGAGGGGCAGGGGTCGGAGGGGTAGGGGAGTGGACGTCCTCGACGTCCTCATCAGCAAGCTCGCCAACCTCGGCAAGCAGCGGCAGCATCGCTGACGAGGTGTCAGAGGGCGGAGTGGACGAGTAGCCGGACACCGGCCCATGCTCCAACTTCCACTCGGCCAGTGACATCTCCTCGTAGAACACCACGTCCGACGTGGTGACCACCCGGTTGGCGTCGACGTCGAGGAGCTCCCAGCCCTTGCTCGCCGCCGACACACCAAGGTGAAGGCCCCACCGGGCCTTCGGCTTCAGCTTCCCACCACGCCCGCCGAGGGGCAGGAATCTGGGAGAAGGGGATGGAATCTAGGAGAAGGGGATGGAATCTGGGAGAAGGAGATGGAATCTGGGAGAAGGGGATGGAATCTGGGAGAAGGGGATGGAATCTAGGAGAAGGGGATGGAATCAGGGAGCAGGGGATGGAATATGGGAGAAGGGGATGGAATCTGGGAGAAGGGGATGGAATCGGAGAGAAGGGGATGGAATATGGGAGAAGGGGATGGAATCTGGGAGAAGGGGATGGAATCTGGGAGAAGGATATGGAATTAGGGAGAAGAGGATGGAATCTGGGAGAAGGGGATGGAATCGGGGAGAAGGGGATGGAATCAGGGAGAAGGCGATGGAATGTGGGAGAAGGGGATGGAATCTGGGAGAAGGGGATGGAATCTGGGAGAAGGAGATGGAATGAGGGAGAAGAGGATGGAATCTGGGAGAAGGGGATGGAATATGGGAGAAGGGGATGGAATCTGGGAGAAGGGGACAGAATCTGGGAGAAGGGGATGGAATGAGGGAGAAGGGGATGGAATCTGGAAGAAGGGGATGGAATCTGGGAAAAGGGGATGGAATCTGGGAGAAGGATGGAATCTGGGAGAAGGGGATAGAATCTAAGAGAAGGGGATGGAATGAGGGAGAAGGGGATGGAATCTGGGAGAAGGGGATGGAATCTGGGAGAAGGGGATGGAATCTGGGAGAAGGGGATGGAATCTAAGAGAAGGGGATGGAATCTGGGAGAAGGGAATGGAATCTGGGAGAAGGGGATGGAATCTGGGAGAAGGGGATGGAACAAGGGAGAAGGGGATGGAAACTAGGAGAAGGGGATGGAATCTGGGAGAAGGGAATGGAATCTGGGAGAAGGGGATGGAATCTGGGAGAAGGGGATGGAATCTGGGAGAAGGGGATGGAATTAGGGAGAAAAGGATGGAAGCTGGGAGAAGGGGATGGAATCTGGGAGAAGAGGATGGAATCTGGGAGAAGGGGATGGAATCTGGGAGAAGGGGATGGAATCTGGGAGAAGGGGCTGGAATCTGGGAGAAGGGGATGGAATCTGGGAGAAGGGGATGGAATCTGGGAGAAGGGGATGGAATCTGGGAGAAGGGGATGGAATCTGGGAGAAGGGGATGGAATCTGGGAGAAGGGGATGGAATCAGGGAGAAGGGGATGGAATATGGGAGAAGGGGATGGAATCTGGGAGAAGGGGATGGAATCGGAGAGAAGGGGATGGAATATAGGAGAAGGGGATGGAATCTGGGAGAAGGGGATGGAATCTGGGAGAAGGAGATGCAATTAGGGAGAAGAGGATGGAATCTGGGAGAAGGGGATGGAATCGGGGAGAAGGGGATGGAATCAGGGAGAAGGGGATGGAATATGGGAGAAGGGGATGGAATCTGGGAGAAGGGGATAGAATCAGGGAGAAGGAGATGGAATGAGGGAGAAGAGGATGGAATCTGGGAGAAGGGGATGGAATCTGGGAGAAGGGGATGGAATCTGGGAGAAGGGAATGGAATATGGGAGAAGGGGATGGAATCTGGGAGAAGGGGATGGAATCTGGGAGAAGGGGATGGAATTAGGGAGAAGGGGATGGAAGCTGGGAGAAGGGGATGGAATCTGGGAGAAGGGGATGGAATCTGGGAGAAGGGGATGGAATCTGGGAGAAGGGGATGGAATCTGGGAGAAGGGGCTGGAATCTGGGAGAAGGGGATGGAATCGGGGAGAAGGGGATGGAATCTGGGAGAAGGGGATGGAATCTGGGAGAAGGGGATGGAATCTGGGAGAAGGGGATGGAATCTGGGAGAAGGGGATGGAATCAGGGAGAAGGGGATGGAATATGGGAGAAGGGGATGGAATCTGGGAGAAGGGGATGGAATCGGAGAGAAGGGGATGGAATATGGGAGAAGGGGATGGAACCTGGGAGAAGGAGATGGAATGAGGGAGAAGGGGATGGAATCTTGGACAAGGGGATGGAATCTGGGAGAAGGGGATGGAATCTGGGAGAAGGGGATGGAATCTGGGAGAAGGGGATCGAATCAGAGAAAAGGGGATGGAATCAGGGAGAAGGGGATGGAATCTGGGAGAAGGGGATGGAATCTGGGAGAAGGGGATGGAATCTGGGAGAAGGGGATGGAATCTGGGAGAAGGGGATGGAATTTGGGAGAAGGGGATGGAATCTGGGAGAAGGGGATGGAATCTGGAAAAAGGGGATGGAATCTGGGAGAAGGGGATGGAATATGGGAGAAGGGGATGGAATTGGGAGAAGGGGATGGAATCTGGGAGAAGGGGATCGAATCAGGGAGAAGGGGATGGAATCTGGGAGAAGGGGATGGAATCAGGGAGAAGGGGATGGAATATGGGAGAAGGGGATGGAATTTGTCAGAAGGGGATGGAATTTGGGAGAAGGGGATGGAATCTGGAAGAAGGGGGTGGAATCTGGGAGAAGGAGATGGAATGAGGGAGAAGGGGATGGAATCTGGGAGAAGGGGATGGAATCTGGGAGAAGGGATGGAATCTGGGAGAAGGGGATGGAGTCTGGGAGGGCGGGATGGAATCTGGGAGAAGGGGATAGAATGAGGGAGAAGGGGATGGAATCTGGCAGAAGGGGATGGAATCTGGGAGAAGGGGATGGAATCTGGGAGAAGGGGATGGAATCTGGGAGAAGGGGATAGAATCTGGGAGAAGGGGATGTAATCTGGGAGAAGGGGATGGAAACTGGGAGAAGGGGATGGAATCTGGGAGAAGGGGATGGAATCTGGGAGAAGGGGATGGAATCTGGGAGAAGGGGATGGAATCTGGAAGAAGGGGGTGGCGTCTGGGAGAAGGAGATGGAATGAGGGAGAAAGGGATGGAATCTGGGACAAGGGGATAGAATCTGGGAGAAGGGGATGGAATCTGGGAGAAGGGGATGGAGTCTGGGAGGGCGGGATGGAACCTGGGAGAAGGGGATAGAATCTGGGAGAAGGGGATGGAATGAGGGAGAAGGGGTTGGAATCTGGGAGGAGGGGATGGAATCTGGGAGAAGGGGATGGAATCTGGCAGAAGGGGATGGAATCTGGAAGAAGGGGATGGAATTTGGGAGAAGGGGATGGAATCTAGGAGAAGGGGATGGAATCTGGAAGAAGGGGATGGAATCTGGGTGAAGGGGATGGAATCGGGGAGAAGGGGATGGAATTTGGAAGAAGGTGGTGGAATCTGGGAGAAGGAGATGGAATGAGGGAGAAGGGGATGGAATCTGGTAGAAGGAGATAGAATCTGGGAGAAGGGAATGGAATCTAGGAGAAGGGGATGGAGTCTGGGAGGGCAGGATGGAATCTGGGAGAAGGGGATGGAATCTGGGAGAAGGGGATGGAATCTGGGAGAAGGGGATGGAATCTGGGAGTAAGGGATGGAATCTCGTAGAAGGGGATGGAATCTGGAAAAAGGGGATGGAATCAGGGAGAAGGGGATGGAATCTGGGAGAAAGGGATGGAATCTAGGAGAAGGGGATGGAATATGGGAGAAGGGGATGTAATCTGGGAGAAGGGGATGGAATCTGGGAGAAGGGGATGGAATGTGGGAGAAGGGGATGGAATCAGGGAGAAGGGGATGGAATCTGGGAGAAGGGGATGGAATCTGGGAGAAGGGGATGGAATATGGGAGAAGGGGATGGAATCTGGGAGAAGGGGATGGAATCTGGGAAAAGGGGATAGAATCAGGGAGAAGGGGATGTAATCTGGGAGAAGGGGATGGAATCTGGGAGAAGGGGATGGAATCTGGGAGAAGGGGATGGAATCTGGGAGAAGGGGATGGAATCTGGAAGAAGGGGATGGAATTTGGGAGAAGGGGATGGAATCTGGGAGAAGGGGATGGAATCTGGAAGAAGGGGGTGGAATCTGGGAGAAGGGGATGGAATGAGGGAGAAGGGGATGGAATCGGGGAGAAGGGGATGGAGTCAGGGAGAAGGGGATGGAATCTGGGAGAAGGGGATGGAATCTGGGAGAAGGGGATGGAATCTGGGAGAAGGGGATGGAATCTGGGAGAAGGGGATGGAGTCTGGGAGAAGGGGATGGAATTTGGGAGAAGGGGATGGAATCTGGGAGAAGGGGATGGAATCAGGGAGAAGGGGATGGAATCTGGGAGAAGGGGATGGAATCTGGGAGAAGGGGATGGAATCTGGGAGAAGGGGATGGAATCTGTGAGAAGGGGATGGAATCTGGGAGAAGGGGATGGAATATGGGAGAAGGGGATGGAATCTAGGAGAAGGGGATGGAATCTGGGAGAAGGGAATGGAATCTGGGAGAAGGGGATGGAATCCGGGAGAAGGGGATGGAATCGGGGAGAAGGGGATGGAATTAGGGAGGAGGGGATGGAAGCTGGGAGAAGGGGATGGAATCTGGGAGAAGGGGATGGAATCTGGGAGAAGGGGATGGAATCTGGGAGAAGGGGATGGAATCTGGGAGAAGGGGCTGGAATCTGGGAGAAGGGGATGGAATCTAGGAGACGGGGATGGAATCTGGGAGAAGGGGATGGAATCTGGGAGGAGGGGATGGAATCTGGGAGAAGGGGATGGAATCTGGGAGAAGGGGATGGAATCAGGGAGAAGGGGATGGAATATGGGAGAAGGGGATGGAATCGGGGAGAAGGGGATGGAATCAGGGAGAAGGGGATGGAATGTGGGAGAAGGGGATGGAATCAGGGAGAAGGGGATGGAATCTGGGAGAAGGGGATAGAATCTGGGAGAAGGGGATGGAATCAGGGAGAAGGGGATGGAATCTGGGAGAAGGGGATGGAATCTGGGAGAAGGGGATGGAATCTGGGAGAATGGGATGGAATCTGGGAGAAGGGGATGGAATCTGGGAGAAGGGGATGGAATCTGGGAGAAGGGGATGGAATATGGGAGAAGGGGATGGAATCTGGAAGAAGGGGATGGAATTTGGGAGAAGGGGATGGAATCTGGGAGAAGGGGATGGAATCTGGAAGAAGGGGGTGGAATCTGGGAGAAGGGGATGGAATGAGGGAGAAGGAGATGGAATCGGCGAGAAGGGGATGGAATCTGGGAGAAGGTGATGGAATCTGAGAGAAGGGGATGGAATCTGGGAGAAGGGGATGGAATCTGGGAGAAGGGGATGGAATCAGGGAGAAGGGGATGGAGTCTGGGAGAAGGGGATGGAATTTGGGAGAAGGGGATGGAATCTGGGAGAAGGGGATGGAATCTGGAAGAAGGGGGTGGCGTCTGGGAGAAGGAGATGGAATGAGGGAGAAAGGGATGGAATCTGGGAGAAGGGGATAGAATCTGGGAGAAGGGGATGGAATCTGGGAGAAGGGGATGGAGTCTGGGAGGGCGGGATGGAACCTGGGAGAAGGGGATGGAATCTGGGAGAAGGGGATGGAATGAGGGAGAAGGGGTTGGAATCTGGGAGAAGGGGATGGAATCTGGGAGAAGGGGATGGAATCTGGCAGAAGGGGATGGAATCTGGAAGAAGGGGATGGAATCTGGGAGAAGGGGATGGAATCTGGGAGAAGGGGATGGAATCTGGAAGAAGGGGATGGAATATGGGAGAAGGGGATGGAATCTAGGAGAAGGGGATGGAATCTGGGAGAAGGGAATGGAATCTGGGAGAAGGGGATGGAATCCGGGAGAAGGGGATGGAATCGGGGAGAAGGGGATGGAATAAGGGAGGAGGGGATGGAAGCTGGGAGAAGGGGATGGAATCTGGGAGAAGGGGATGGAATCTGGGAGAAGGGGATGGAATCTGGGAGAAGGGGATGGAATCTGGGAGAAGGGGATGGAATATGGGAGAAGGGGATGGAATCTAGGAGAAGGGGATGGAATCTAGGAGAAGGGAATGGAATCTGGGAGAAGGGGATGGAATCCGGGAGAAGGGGATGGAATCGGGGAGAAGGGGATGGAATTAGGGAGGAGGGGATGGAAGCTGGGAGAAGGGGATGGAATCTGGAAGAAGGGGATGGAATATGGGAGAAGGGGATGGAATCTAGGAGAAGGGGATGGAATCTGGGAGAAGGGAATGGAATCTGGGAGAAGGGGATGGAATCCGGGAGAAGGGGATGGAATCGGGGAGAAGGGGATGGAATAAGGGAGGAGGGGATGGAAGCTGGGAGAAGGGGATGGAATCTGGGAGAAGGGGATGGAATCTGGGAGAAGGGGATGGAATCTGGGAGAAGGGGATGGAATCTGGGAGAAGGGGCTGGAATCTGGGAGAAGGGGATGGAATCTAGGAGACGGGGATGGAATCTGGGAGAAGGGTATGGAATCTGGGAGAAGGGGATGGAATCTGGGAGAAGGGGATGGAATCTGGGAGAAGGGGATGGAATCTGGGAGAAGGGGATGGAATCTGGGAGAAGGGGATGGAATATGGGAGAAGGGGATGGAATCTAGGAGAAGGGGATGGAATCTGGGAGAAGGGAATGGAATCTGGGAGAAGGGGATGGAATCCGGGAGAAGGGGATGGAATCGGGGAGAAGGGGATGGAATAAGGGAGGAGGGGATGGAAGCTGGGAGAAGGGGATGGAATCTGGGAGAAGGGGATGGAATCTGGGAGAAGGGGATGGAATCTGGGAGAAGGGGATGGAATCTGGGAGAAGGGGATGGAATATGGGAGAAGGGGATGGAATCTAGGAGAAGGGGATGGAATCTAGGAGAAGGGAATGGAATCTGGGAGAAGGGGATGGAATCCGGGAGAAGGGGATGGAATCGGGGAGAAGGGGATGGAATTAGGGAGGAGGGGATGGAAGCTGGGAGAAGGGGATGGAATCTGGGAGAAGGGGATGGAATCTGGGAGAAGGGGATGGAATCTGGGAGAAGGGGATGGAATCTGGGAGAAGGGGATGGAATCAGGGAGAAGGGGATGGAATCTGGGAGAAGGGGATGGAATCTGGGAGAAGGGGATGGAATCTGGGAGAAGGGGATGGAATCTGGGAGAAGGGGATGGAATCTGGGAGAAGGGGATGGAATATGGGAGAAGGGGATGGAATCTAGGAGAAGGGGATGGAATCTAGGAGAAGGGAATGGAATCTGGGAGAAGGGGATGGAATCCGGGAGAAGGGGATGGAATCGGGGAGAAGGGGATGGAATAAGGGAGGAGGGGATGGAAGCTGGGAGAAGGGGATGGAATCTGGGAGAAGGGGATGGAATCTGGGAGAAGGGGATGGAATCTGGGAGAAGGGGATGGAATCTGGGAGAAGGGGCTGGAATCTGGGAGAAGGGGATGGAATCTAGGAGACGGGGATGGAATCTGGGAGAAGGGGATGGAATCTGGGAGAAGGGGATGGAATCTGGGAGAAGAGGATGGAATCTGGGAGAAGGGGCTGGAATCTGGGAGAAGGGGATGGAATATGGGAGAAGGGGATGGAATCGGGGAGAAGGGGATGGAATCAGGGAGAAGGGGATGGAATGTGGGAGAAGGGGATGGAATCTGGGAGAAGGGGATGGAATCTGGGAGAAGGGGATAGAATCTGGGAGAAGGGGATGGAATCAGGGAGAAGGGGATGGAATCTGGGAGAAGGGGATGGAATCTGGGAGAAGGGGATGGAATATGGGAGAATGGGATGGAATCTGGGAGAAGGGGATGGAATTT